CAGACAATAAATTTATGAAGTACATGTTATTGCAGACATTTTTAGTAAAGAAAGTAGGGAGTTGATTTTTACTGTCACGTTTGTGTTTGAATGGACATTAGAGGTGTTCAGCTTTCAGTAAAAAAAGACCTATTGTGCTTGTGTCTGGTGTATAGTTATAATCTATGACACCCGTGGATCATTATGTTTAAATATTTATATTTTAAACTGTAATATTAATCTAAAACGACTTAAAAAAAAAAAACCAAAAGTCAGCTGATTTCCATGTTAAAAAACTCAATGGGAGCGGACATTGCTGTAAACGTCATCTCAACAAAGAGCTGTGAAGCTGTTGGCACCTTCTGTGGATAGCTGCAGATCACTCTAGCGAGCTGTGGATTTTTATTAATTAGTACCAAAATGACTACAGTACATGAATCACCGATTAAGAAAGTTCAAGTGCAGAATGAAGTAAGAAAAGAGCAGTGGAAGCAATAACAATATCTTGCTCAAACATGTATGAATCAGCACATGAATCTAAATACAACCTTGAGACAGTAAACGAGAAGGGAAACTATAACATGGGCAAAAGCTTTAAAAAGTCCATTTTAGCTGCTTCAATAAATCAGGTAACAATCAAGAATATATCAGGTCTATAATCTAAAGGAGCCTTGGCGGTCCCCTGGAAGGAGCTGGAGGAAGTGTCCGGGGTGAAGGAAGTCTGGGAGTCCCTGCTTAGACTCCTGCATCCATGACCCGACCCCGGATAAGCAAAAGAAAATGGATGGATGGATGGACAGATATTCTAAATCTGGGTAAACCAGGATTAAAACATTACAAAACCAGGGCTAAACCAACCAGTACTGAATCAAGTCCAAACCAGTACCAGGTCCAAAACAGAACTACACCAGGTCCACACGACAAAACAAAGTTTAAATAGGAATAAAGAAGAAACAAATCCTGTGAGTCCCTGCCTCAAGTGGAGCAGTTCAAGTATCTCTGTATCTGTCTTGTTCATGAGCGAGGGGAGGATGGAGCGTGAGATTGACAGGTGGATCAGTGCAGCGTCTGCAGTGATCAGACTGTTCTGGTGAAGAAGGAGCCAAGTCCAAAAGCAAAGCTCTCGATTTACCCTCAATCTATGTCCCTGCCCTCACCTGTGCTCATGAGCTTTGGGTAATGACCGAAAGGACAAGATCACGGATACAAGCAGTAGAAATGAGTTTCCTCCGCAGATTCCATCCACACTAGTATGTATTCGAGACGTTTTCGATGTGGATGCAGTGCTCGTCCACACTAATCCAATGAAAACAGAAAACAGCTCCAGAGACGGAACGATCTGGTGACGCCAGCTCCCACGAACTCATCTGAGTACAGATCTGATCCGGCACCGTGTGGACGCATGAAAACACTGATACACTGACGTAGATATGTAAGTAATTCACCGCCAAAACGCTAAGAGGCTAGAATATATATCCATTCATATATACGGTTTGTGTGTACGACCTGCAGACGTATAATCTCTAAAAAGTTTAATATGAACCATTGCCAACGTGATAGAAGCACAGAACAGACTCACCATCAGCAGAACACCCCTCTGTCACAGAAAGAACACTCATATTCCACTGAGTCGTGTCCTTTAGTCCGACAGAAGCTGAACCGCATCAGCGCACAATATCAAGCTGTTTTTTGAGCGCTCAGTTTATGCAAATGAGCCATGCGGCTTTAAGTTTTGTTTTTGTAAAACGTAAACAAATATGCTCAAGGCTGTGTGGATAGAGAAGTCTTGCGGACACAGAAACGTGTCTGGACGCAAATAGTTTCCAATACGGTGATACGGTGATTCATTTCAGTGTAAACCTTAGAGAGAGGGTGAGGAACTCGGCCACACGGGAGGAGCTCGGAGTAGAGCTGCTGCGCCTCCATGTTGAGAGGAGCATCTGAGGGGAGGGCATCTGATCTGGATGCCTCCTGGGAACGTCTTGAGGTCCCATCCAAGAAGGACATGGAGGAAGTGTCTGGGGTGTGGGAAGTCTGGAGGTCCCTGCTCAAACCTGGCCCTGAATAATCGGAAGAAAATGGATGGACTCAACTTTTATAGACGACAGTGTGGACTTTTGACCTTTTACAAGATATTCTATTTTACTTTGAATTGTTAATCGCTATGGGAACGATGTTAGATTGATCACTTTGACACTCATGGGTGCCATTTTGAGGACCGTGGAAAGACAGAATATTTTGTTTGTTACTTACTCGTTTAGTGTTATGTCAACCATCCCAGTTTATCACCGCTCGCTAAGATTAATGATACAATGGGGTAATCTTGACATTCTGTTGCCTGGGGTCCTGTTTTCTTGCAGATCCCACCACTTGTGAACCGTAGTGGGAGCACATGTGTGGCGCTGAGCTAACAGAGCCAGCGTGATCGTGCCTGCAGGACACACAGGCGCGCTCATGATCCCACCGTCAGCCAATCATAAACGCTGTAAACGACTGCGCCAACCGGGAATTAGACGGGCCCCAAACGCTCATCATGGCTGGGTGAGTGCAGCGCTCGGGGCATTGGTCATGTGTGTGTGTGTTTGTGTGTGTGTGTGTGTGTGTGTGCGTGTGCGTGTGAGGGTGCAGTGGGAGAAAGGGGGAGGAGGGGAGCGTGAGAGAAAAAGAGAAAGAGATGATACAGTGTAAGAGAAAGGGTGAGAGAAAGAAAATGAGAAGGAGAGCGAAGGGAACGGAGAACGAAACAAGAGGCAGAAACTGATAGAAAAAGAGATGGTGAGAGAAGGAGATGGAGAGAGAAATGCAGGAAAAAGATGGATATATATATATTAAAAAGAGAGAAAGAAGGGGAGACAGGGGAACTGAGAAAGCAAGAGACAGAGAGGGAGAAAAAACTGAGGGAGAGAGGGAGACTTTTATTGTATCTGCCAAAACATTTTGCCATTGCATTTCTAGAAAGAGAAAGTGATAGAGAGTGAGTGAGTGTGTGTGTGTGTGAGAGAGATTGTGTGTGTGTGTTTGAGAGAGAGAGAGAGACAGAGAGAGAGAAAGAGGAGAGAGAGAGTGTGGCTGCTTTGTGCATGCTCAGTGACCGCGACAGGACTCACAGAAGGAGCACTAATAGTCTGAGCAATACGACTGTGTGTGTTATGGATATGTGACTATAATAGTGCGTGTGTGTGCGTGTGTGTGTTATGGATATGTGACTATAATAGTGCGTGTGTGTGCGTGTGTGTGTGTGTGTGTGCGTGTGTGTTATGGATATGTGGCTGTAATAGTGTGTGTGCCAATGAAGTGGGCAGCTGGAATCATTAGCATTAGTAATATAGTAATGGCTTCACTTCAGTAGGTTTAGAGCACTGGTTCACAAACTGAAGCCTCAAGCGAATGTGGAATGACCTAGAGGGGACGCAAGGAGTAAAAATAGACATTTTATCCAGATTTGATACAAATTAGGATTATTTGGATCCCTCAGGATAGCCTTAAAGCCCCAGTATGTAACTGTTTTGCCAAAAATATACTAAAATAAAACCATGTTTTTCCACAGTTGAACTGAAAAACACAAATGTGCAGTCTTACACTGAGCAGGCCACAAATCTGACTCTGATTTGACCTCCTGCTTGTTTCTGTGGAAATGTTGTTTGTTTGATTATAATATTTCACATTATAGCATGAAACCTCCATACATCTCCAACATTTTCTCCAATATTCTCCATGGAGAATATTCTGAAGAACGGCTTTAACTTTCTGTTTTCATGGAATCATGTAGCTGACTTTCTATCTCGGGAAAGTTACATACTATCACTTTAAAGTTTTAAATGTGATGCACATGTTTGTCTACAAGCAAATATTCAAACTATTAAATATTATATAATGTGTTCAGCTTCGTACACAGCTGGTCATTTGTGAACCACTGGTTTAAAATAGGCCTATTTATTTAGTGTTCATATCTCTATAAGTATCATCTTTTTAACAGGATGAGGATAAAGCAGATGAACATAATGAAGATACCTGGTGATGATGTGATCATGTGGAAGTCCTCACAGCTCTCCAAATATCAGGCCTACAGCAAAGGGCACTGAAAAATAGGGAACAATGAGTGAATAGTTACAAAAAAAAACAAAGCATTTGCAGTAGGGTATATTACTTTTCTATGGTGTATTTGTTAAATGTGTGTTTATAACAAAACAAAACAAAAAAAAGCGTCAAGTAGGTTCGTCTCTCCACAGATCTGACCTGTAAATTTACCTGTTGCCATCAACTGTTTGTTTCCATGAGCACCTTTAAAAAATAAAAATAAAAAATCAAAGACATATTTACGTCCAGGATGATACAGAATGATATTTTACACTTTAACTGCATAGAATTTACCAGTGAATGTAAACACAGACTGTCCAGTGTCCAGAGCCTGTAGCCTAGCTTGTTTTTTTCAGATTGTTACTTAATTAAAAAGTAATGCATGTCATGACTTTAGTTAAAATTGAATTGTTGCATGGACTACGCTTTAATTGAGTCAGACAATATTTAAATTAAAATAGGGGAAAATTAAGAAAGAAAAAAAAAAAACGTAGATGCCAGCCTAGACTAGCTAATTTGTGCATTGAAAGGCTACCCAGGGAAGCAAGCAAATTTTTTGACTTTATCTAAGAATTAAAAAATAAAAAATAAAACAAAAGATTAAAAAATTTACCTGATCAAGATCGAAATATGAAATCCATGGTCCTCTAGTTTGTCCAGCGACCCACGTGTTTTCAGAGCAAAAAATAAAAGTCTGCTGCCCCTCCGTGGGCATTTTGCCGCACTGCAGGCATGAAACTGAATGTATAACGTCAACGTTCCTCAAAAAAGCTACAAAATCACCGTATATGACAAGACGGGGATAGACAAAATATTAGACAATTAACTATGGTTGAAATAATAAAAATACGTGCTTTTGTCAGCCTTTTAACACAATTTATTCAAGTTTCCATAGCTACGGCGCTTTTGAACTACACTCCCCACAATGCAACGGCGTTCAAAATGGCGTGTCGCGTAGTCGCATGAATGTTATCAGCTGGTGAACTTGTAAACATTGCCTCGGATAAACAAAAGTATACGGCGACTTTGTTTCTTAGCTTTGCACCACGATAATGCGGCTTTTTGGCAACGTTTTGAAGTGTTTAGGTAAAAGATCGTTGGTTTATTCGTGTCGGCAGCTCTGTAATGCTAACAGACAGCTAGCTCTGGGGGAGGACACAATCCTGATCGTGGGATCGAACCCGCAACTTCTGCAGCGGCTCGGCTCACAGGTACAGACACGGCTGACTAACAAAGGTCCATTAAAGGTCCATTAAAATGTTTTATATTACACAAAGTTGATTGTTGTGAGCTTTAAGCCATGTTATAATACTGTTATCTCCTCAAAAACAGACCTAGAGTTGTGTTTTGTTTCATTCACACGTTTGAGTAACCATTTATTATTAGTTTAAAGCTCAAAATTCCCTGTGCATCCACCTTGTGATGTCATGTAGTGGTAGTTTTCAAATTAACATCCACATTTTACCTTTAGTTCACTAGAGATTGGAAATGCCGGGCTTGAAATCATCCAAATGATCCTAGTGAAGGTGTATGGAGTTTAAAAACACAGTGGGGCACTTCCTGTTTTTTTCTGAGCCTAAATATACAGGGTTTGTGTGTTAAACATGTGTGAATGAAACAACACAAAACTACAGGCATGTTTATGATGAGGAAACGTCAAAACATAAATCATAAAATTGTGTAATATAGGCCCCTAATTTTGTGCATTTTAAGTTTTTTTGTTTTTTCTTTTAGTGAATTATGCCATTATGTTATTATATTGTTTTGTCTGTCATACAAATTTCTCCATACAATGTGAAATCATAAGCTTATAAAGGAGGTAAGTAAGAGGAATACATAAAAATTAATAGCTTTTAAGTTGAATAAGGCCTAAATTCATTGCATTAAAAATAAATTAAATAAAGGAATAAATAACTGAAAATGCATCTTCATGGACAGAAAGTGACAAAGAGAGCAAAAAGCTGACTTAAAGGTCCACTATGTAACTTTTCTCCATGGAGATGTTCCACAGTGTGATATTATCTTGCATTTATTCAACTACAGGTGCTTTTATAGCCCGAAAAACATGCATTCTTTATGCGGGAGTGTTTGCCTCTCCACAGATCTCACCTGTAACTCTGTCTGGTTACATCACCTTGTCTCCACGGAGAAAGATGTTAATATTTGTTATTAAATTCCTACTTTTTGCAGGTGGAGGTAAGACCAGGTTTCATCACGAAGGAAGAGGAGGCTGCTCTGCTGAAGGAGCTCGAGCCAGGACTGAAGAGAAAACGCTATGAGTTTGACCACTGGGACAATGTAAGACTAACTACCTACATTCATCATAGATTTAATGATGCTTCTGCAGCCCACGGGCCAACTTTTTTAAACACATTATTGGACAGGGAACAGTTAGAAGCGATGAATGGCAAGGAGCCCGCTTTTGGAGTGTCTTTGTCATTAAATGAAACAGCAGACAATGATTTAACTTAAAACTAATCATATTAAACATCAGCTGGCTTTCCCGGGGTCTGGTTATTTTAAACAAACAACAACAGATCAAACATACTTGAAGCTGCGTGTGAGAAATATACTTATTATACTTATTATAAAGCACTTTATACTTTTACCAGCAGCTAATGTCTGGTACATACTCCGCAGACTAATTCGCTCATGTCAATTTTAAAAAAGAAACCTTCCTCCCCCCAAAATTGGTTTAACTTTTGTTTGTGATTTTTCTACAGTCAACATTTCAAAGCAGTCCATTATGCAAAGTGTTTTTGCGAAATGCAGTGTCAATCTGGAGCTTTATAAATACAGTAAAAGGCTCTGGATTTCTTCTGCCCTTGATACAAATCTTTGCTAATTCTGGCCCACACATTCCCCACATTTTCAGCATTCACAACTGACTGCCCAGATTTTCTATTAACATAAACCATGTGAACTAAATGAGTCTTCCCGCAGGCTATCCACGGTTACAGGGAGACGGAGCGTCTGACGTGGGGACCTGCCTGTGCTGAGATCCTGACCAGAGTCCGGTCTTTGGCCTTCCCCCCAGGCAGTCCGCTCCTGGGACCGGTCCATGTCCTGGATCTGGACCAGAAAGGATACATCAAACCACACATCGACAGTGTCAAGGTACTTCCTCCATAAATAAATCATGCAGTTTTGGACAGAGTCTGATCACAATGAAGGATCACAATATAAATTTAAGAGTACAATTTAAATGCTTTTGTTTTTCATAATAGCTTCAGAATTCATTATTCAACCCCATAGATGTAATTATTGTCAGCTGAAAGGATTTTAAGACAAATCATTAATATGTCAAGTTTGTGGCGCCAGTCTCAAACAAATAAAGTCTGGACAAAGCCATAAGTCATATTTGGCCCAAGATACAAACTGTTAAATGAAAAAAACATGAATAATTAAACTGTATATAGCTTGTATTCTTGTAGTTTTAAAAAATGAACAACAATCACAACTGAAACTGTGTTGCCAAAGACTTACCCTGCAGGTAGAAACACATCCAAGTTTGTCTCATTCTCAGTTGATGGACCAGTGGCGGTTCTAGGATTTTTCTGAAACAGGGGCCATTAAGGGGACACTTGTTACATTCAGGAGCCAAGTGCAGTTTACATCCAAGCACAGAAATAATTAATTCAGTACGGTTTGAATACAAGCATACACAGTTAAAAAAAAATATTTAAAAAAAGCCCTCCACAGGTCTGCTTCTTCTCCCATTAAGTTTTACTGATGCAATAGGTCTGCTGCCACCAAGAATTTGGGGGTAGAATTGCATCAGTGATCATTGAATTATTTATTTTTTTTATTCTTCAATATATTCAACTAAATACAGTCACATAGATAACACATACAGTACGGGGGTGGTGTGCAGTAGTTACAAGAGAGTAAAAGAAAGAATACAAAACAATACAAAACAATACATTGGATAAGACCCCAAACTAAGTATACTTAAATAAATAATTGTATCAAAGTGTAGGGGAGAGTGATATTGTTATAAGTATTTATTATATATATTATGTTTTAAGAGCTTTTTGGTTTTGGACCTGTTTTATTGTTTGGAAATATTGCTGTATTTCGTTATTATAATGATGACCATTTGGTTTGTTTGGAGTCCAGTTTGTTTTGTGTATATGATATTTGGCCTGCATCATGAATTCTGATCATGATCATTGAATTGACTGACCATGATCATTGAATTCTCTGGTTGTTCTTCTCGTCAGGTGATTGGCAGAACAGGGGCACATCAGGGGCCAATCAGATTAGAGGTGGTCCCTGGACAGACCAGGCCTCATGTGAAAGCTGCAGAGGCTGCTCGGGTTTAGGTAGTGATTTCTCTAATTCAGAGCCGATGAGAGGCATTATAAATTTAAATCAGCTGGATTTCAGATTTGATAAAAATGCCAAATTATAGCATAAACATCATTGTGATGATGTCTAGTGTTTTTGTAATTAAGAATAAGTCAAAATTATAATTGTTATCAGTATAAGCTATATTACATTGTCTCTCATATTCATTCTTATGTTCATGTTTCAGTTCTGTGGCAGCACCATCGCTGGCCTGAACCTGCTGTCTGCCAGTGTCATGCGTTTAGTAAAGCAGGACTCCCCACATGAATGGCTGGACCTTCTCTTACCTCGATACTCGCTCTATATTATGAGGTACAATCTATCCAACATTTAAAGATACTGTACTGAGCAAAATGGACTCTTGTAATCTTTAAGCCATGTTATAATGTAACCACAAAACAGACCTGGAGTTGTGTTTTGTTTCATTTGCGCATGTCTGAGTAATCATTTATTATTCGAGTGCCTACATCCAAAGCTCAAAATGCTCTGCTGCACCTTGTGATGTCATGAAGCTGTGGTTTTCAATTTAACAGCTCCTTTTACCTTTATTTCAGTAGAGATTGTCAATTCCAGTGCTGAAGTCATCCAAATGATGAAGGTGAACTCACCTTAAATATGCAGGGTTTTTGTGTTAAACATGTGTGAATGAAACAAAACACAACTTCAGGCATGTTTGTGATGAGGAAACATTATAACATAGATCAGAAAATGGCGTAATATGGACCCTTTAAAACAGTGTTTCCCAAACTTTTTTTCTGGGGACCCATATTTTAAAAGTCACAAACCTTCACAACCCAAGTCAATAGACATTATTCGTAAATCACAGAATAAAGGTGGATTTGACCATTATTGAACATTAATGAGGATATTTTATTGTTGACTGAGTGATTGTGTCTCTCTGAACAATTAGTATTACTCAAGTTTTAAACAATGAAAAACAATCATTGAAGCAGCAGTAAAATGATCCATAAGTCACCTATTTGGACATTAAATGTGGCCCATTTCTTTTTCTTTTCAACATGCAATTCAACCAGCAATACTGGAACAAAATAGTCAATAAAATAATTACAAATAGATTAGAAATTATACAAAACATGTCTTAAAATTTCAAAATTTCTAATGAGATAGTTGGGCCTGTCTGCATTTTTGTAGTCTGTTTCAGTCCGGGGTGCAGAAGGAAGCGTACAGCAGCAGATCAGCCGCAGAATTCAGTCTGTTTCTGTGCTTTGTCTTCATTTTTGTGAGCACAAAAAATCCCAATTCACACATATACTGTACGTAGTAGTGAAAGGAATAAGCATAGAAATACTGGCTCCTACTGAGGACAGGATCTTCTGACGAAATGCTTATCCAGAATATCGATAAAGTCACAGATCCATGTATCCACCTATATATTGCAGACCGACATGCAGATCATGACAAGGCGACCCAAAAATAATCTCTTGTGACTCACCTGAGGGTCACGGACCAGTCTTTGGGAAACAACGCTTTAAAAAACAATTGATTCATTTGCTGTACTTTTGTAACTTGTTCTTGTCTTTTCCAGAGATGAAGCCAGATATGAGTTCACCCACGAGATTCTGAAGGACGAGGAGTCGGTGTTCAACGGGCAGCGGGTGCCACGGCAACGGAGGATCTCAGTTATATGTCGGAACCTGCCCAGCTGATGAGACCAACGAAGTAATAATAAAGGCTAGAGAGAGATCGTCGCCATGGGAACCTGTAGTAACCAAAATCAAGTTCCAGCAGCCATGTTGTGACTGTAAAACTCTGCACGCATACAAACTACAAGTATAGATCTCTCAAGCCTTTATTTATACCTCACTGGAACCAAAATGAACTTTTACAGCAGACAAAATCATAAAGAATCATATTTCACAGCTTTTTCTGAGGTGATAAATATTCTTTCAACACACATGAAAGATACAGCAATAGTAAATAGGGTTAAATTAAGTTCACCCCAAAACTTAAAGGAAAACTGTGTAACTTTTCTGGTGGATATTACATGGAGATATTACTATTTTGGCTTCATTATTACAAGCAATGGAAATAAATCACAATGGAGAACGGTTAAAGTTCAGATCTATGGAGAGGTAAGCCTGCATATGGTAAAAAATCATGTTTTTTAAGGTATTTATGAGCAATAAAACACCTGTAAATGAATAAATGTCATACTATGGAACATTCTAGCCAAAGAAATAACATATCCATAGCAGACACTCCATCTCTGAAGTTACATAGTTTACCTTTAATATAATGCAATTTTTTTGTTTTTGCCATATTTCTGACTGAATTTAATGTGTAAATATAATATATAAAATAAAATAATTATATTGTTTAACATGTTCTAGTCATAATTGTGGCATATTTTTACAATTTTTGAAAGAATGATAAACAAAAAATAAATAAAATAGAACTATCGCTTGGATTTTATTGAGTAATTGTTTTAATTTATATAAAATGTAATCATTCCATATTCTAAATCTCACTCAGTAATTGTGTGAGCTGTGAGTTAACAAAACTTGACCTCATGTCGGTCATGTAAATGTAGCGGCTTTAGTCCTAAGAAAACAAGTGCCTTCGAGACAAATGAGGATTTGGTGTTCGTTTACTTCACAGCTCCCCTCAACAAGAATTTAAAGAGATCCAATAAAGGATTTTTTTAATTTATCTTTTAATTATAATTTATTTTGCATTACATGTTTTTTCCACATTTGAATTTTGTAAAATATTTTTTCCAGGTGAAAGCTAACTCATTTATCGTATTTTCCGGGTTCTTAAGCCTCCAGCCCCATCAAAAAATGACAGCGCGCCCCACAATCCAGAGCACCCCATACACGAATCCACTCGGGTGTCCAGCACGACTTCAGTAAACTACAAAGCCGCACCACCCACAGCGCACATAAACACACACGGAGCAAACAGCGACCGCACAGCGAAACACACCCACAGTCACACTCATCACTCCACACCGACGAGGAACGGAACGGAGGAACGAACGGAAAAAAGCGAGCGCAATGTGCCACTTCGAGACCCAACTGAACAACTGAGTTACTGCGAACACGCCGACAATCCAGCGGTCCCAGACAGCACCCTCCCTACACGCCACAACTGAACAAAGCCCAGAGTCACCGTGAACGCCACAAACAAACAAAACCACTCACCCATCCAACTGTTGTGTTTCCATTAAAGTCCGGTGCGGTTTATTTGTGAAAAATAGACCATTTTATGACAGTGCGCCTTATAATCCAGAGCGCCCTATAGTATGGAAAATACGGTAATAAGCACACTGTCCAAAACCAAAATCAAAAATGAAAGAAATTTGACTTGACTCGGTATCGATAATGATACCACAGTGACGATATTTTTTATTTAGTTAGTTTTTACTTTTTTTTTTTTTTTTTACAAAATAATAGTACTTTCTTTACAGTATCATGAGATCTTATATACACATTCAAAATTACACTTTGTTAATGTGATTAATGTGATTAGTAGTTAGAGAGTTAGTGTCGAAGATTCAAGACAGTGAGCATAAATTTCCAGATTTCAGATAGTTAGTTGTAAAGAAGATGGCTATGTCAGATTCCAGATAGTTAGTAGGAGTAGAAGTAAAAGATAATTGAAGCCACGCGCGGCGATGGTGGCCCTCGCCCCGGGCGCGCACCGCCCCCCCACGCGACCTCCAGGGACTCGCGACCGCCCCGGCACGCCACCCTCTCTTCCCGACAGCTCCCGAGGCCGACAGCTCGTCCACCAGAAAAATTACACAGTGTACCTTTAAATGTTTCAGAGGAGTCATTGCGCCCCTACTGGCCAACCGTGAAAAATGCCCAATATCCATAATAGACTTTTTTGTTCACAATCATGCATAGAATTTAATCCCCGAGTTTGGTACAAATCCAACATTGTTGACATTTCATGTGTATGCTAGGGGGCGCTATAGTGTTCACATTTCATATGTTTTATAGTGTATTATACTCCGGTCGAAATCAGGCATGACTGATTCAAATTTCAGGACGATCGGACTAAGCCTAATTATTTTTTAACTATTTTTGGGGGGAGTCTTTGCGCCCCTGGTGGCCAACTGTGAAAAATACCCCAGGTCCGTAATGCACTTTTTTGCTTGTAATCATGCATAGAATTTAATTCCCGAATTTGGTCCAAATCCAATAATGTTGACATTTCATGTCTATGCTAGGGGGCGCTATAGAGTTCACTTTTCATATGTTTTGTAGTGTATTATATTCAGGCTCAGATCAGGCATTAGTGATTAAAATTTCAGCACGATCGGACAAAACCTGTTTGTGTAATACATTTTTAACTATTTTTTTGGGGATTCTTTGCGCCCCTACTGGCCAAGCGTGAAAAATGCACCATGTCCGTAATAGACTTTTTTGCTTGTCATCATGCATAGAATTTAATTTCCGAATTTGGTAAAAATCCGATAATGTTGACGTTTCATGTCTATGCTAGGGGGCGCTATAGAGTTCAGTTTTATTAAATTTCATATTTCATCACATTCAGGCCTGGATCACACAATTGTGATTTGAATTTGAGTTCTCTAGGACAATGCCTGTGGCCGTGACAGGCCTCCGAAAAAACAGGAAATGAAGGCGTTTATCGCCGGCGTGCTACGGGCGAACCGTAAGGAGTATCAAAAAAAAATTTGAAAATTTCTGTGAGTTTATGTCTCTAGATGTGACATGTCAAACTGAGCTCATTTGGACAAAACCCCGGAGACTTGAATCTTTTTGTAGACACCCAAGTCCAAACGGCGCCGAATTTTAGATCCAATATGGCCGACTTCCTGTTCGCCATAGGGGTGCACAATGATTGGCTTTTATGCTTGTCTCCATGAGTTCTATCACTGCTCCAAATTTTGTGACCCTACGCCAAAATATGCGTCTGAGCCTCCAATTCATTTCAGAATTTTGAAATTTCAAGGGGGCGCTGTTGAGTGGGGGGGCTTTGGACATTGTCGCGATGCCCATTTTATCAACTTTTTCACCAGACCGATCGATCTGATACCCGGTTTGGGGACTTTTCGTCCATGTTCAGGGGGTCAAAAATGAGATTCATGTGGGGAAATAGAATAATAAAAAAAAAGAAACCGAGCGAAAACAATACCCCTCGCCCCTAACTTTGTTAGTGGCGAGGGCCAATAATAATAATAATAAGAAGAAGAAACCGGTGAAGAACAATAGCAATTATGTCACAGATAGTAATCTCAAGACCCAAGTGTTTATCTTACTTTTGTGTGTATGTGATGGGGCTGAAGGAAATGTGTAATTGTTTTTAATCACATTTTTGTATGAAAAGCGCTCTATAAATAAAGTTTGATTTGATTTGATGTACAGTATCAATACCAGCTCAAATGAGTATCTAGTATCGATATTAGTTTTAGTATCGATTAGTATCTGATTTTCTATTCTTTTGACAATCTTACCCAGTTTACTAGCACAAGTGGACAGATGCGTGAGCTTGGGCACTATGGGCTTAATGTTTTGTTTAGGAAATGCTTCAATTAGAGTTTTGTTATCTTTAAACCATCAACTTTTCCTGTCGTTTGAATCAGGTTGTTTGCATCTGTTTAAAAATGGATGAAATGCAAATAAATCTAAAATACACAGCGTCAACTGCGATAATCAGCTTTTAGTCGACTGGAGGTGTCAGGATGAAGTACGGACACGTTTTGCTCGTCTTAGGTAAGTTACAAGACAGTTCAGTACTACCAGTCAAAAACTCTGGACGGACCTTCAAATTCAATGTTTTGGTTTGTTTTTTAATGTTTTTTTAATGCACTGATCTCAAAAAACAACAGGGATATTAAACAAGAAGTCTGGAATTACATAGCAAAGAGAGAAAATGCTGAATAACTCGGGATGTTGAGGGAGAAGTTTCAAAATTGTATCTCTAAATGTATTTTCTTTTCCTATTCACCTGTAGTACATCGCCTTAAATGGTCCCAGTTTTATATAGTGCTTTTCCACCTCATAGAGCTTTACAGCAACAAAAATACTCATCTGTTGGAGCTGGAATCTTGTCGTTAAACTGTGGGCTGGTGGATCTGATCTCTCAAGAGTATGTCGAGAGCGGGATTCGAATCACCAACCTTCAAATCAGGGGTTGAGCTACTCCTCAGATTTCGATTTTCTAGATCAAAACATTGTGTATTTTTAATTTATTCTTTACTTCAGACAAAGACATCTTTCGGTTCATAGTTAAAAGCAAAAACTAGATACAAAAAAAATATACAAGGCACCCAAATTTGTCTATAAATTCGAAATGAAAATAAAAATGTGGAGTTTCTGAACCCAGCGCTTTGTCAGAGAAGAGGTGTAACAGCATGAGCTCATTTGAGGATTGGTCAAAATCTTATGATGGTATTTTCAGACACCTCCAGACACCGCGTAAAACATTATAAACCATTGTTTCCCAAAGACCAAGTGGGTCACAAGAGATTTTTTTTGGTTTGCCTTGTCACAATGCATATAGGTCTGTGATATACAGTTCTGACACATGAGAGATCGAGTGACTCTTTTGTTCCAATATTGCTGATTCAGTTGAATGTCGAAAAGAAAAAGAAATGGGCTACATTTAATGCCCAAATAGGTGGGTCAGGTCTTTGAAATTTGGGAAATAATTTTTGTTCCATGTTTCATACATGGTCTGTTTAAAACGTATGGAACTTTAGAACCAAAAATGGTACAGAAAAAAGGTAAACAGTTTCATAAACTAGAGTACATATGTATCTGTTGAATACATTTTTATATCAGCTGCATTAACTTGAATTTTTGGCCTTGCTGTTTACTTCTGCTTGACTGGGCCCTCAAGTAAATGTAACTGAGTACTACCCACCTCTGCTTTCACTACGTAGAAGTTATAAACATATATAAAGACATTTTTGACTACTGTTGAAAATATAGTTTAAATACAAGTCTAGTCAAACTGTTTTTTTGTTTTTTTTTCCTTTTCTTTAGGTATACTAGTTGCTGTAGTTGGTGCTTTTCCTCCAGGTAAGAATACATGTGCTCCACTGTGTTTTTAAACTCCATACACCTTCACTAGAATCATTCAGACAGTCAGAATGCCTGTTTTTTTATATATAGATTTTTAAAATATATATTATAGGTATTTTTGAGCTATAAAACCACCTGTAATTGAATAAATGTAAGTTAGAACAGAGAAACAAGCTTGTGATGGACCCCTCAGTAAAAAAATTACACAGAATACATTTAAGTAACAAAATTTAATACTTCTTCCTCCACTGCGTATAACTTAAATTTTGTGTTTTTTTCTTTCTCTGGTTTTACAGGTTCTTGCGATGGATACACCAACATCAGTCAAGCTTGGAGAAACGCCAATTTCTTTATTTCACCGTATTTCGAGGCCAATCCCTATGACGACTCCTTCATGGTTTCCAATTGGTGGCGCTTTGTGGGGCCCGGTGGAGACATACTTTTGACTCTATGTAAGACGGGCGGTACGGGGAACGTGTACAGCATTGCAATTGACGCCCCCTTCATGCCCACGACCGAAAAGGACACCGCGACCCCAGTGACGGCGAACGCATTCGGGCCGTCGTGTTTTCCCAATACGTTTTACATAGATGTGGTCCTGTGCCCTGGAAACTTCTACATCTACAACCCACGGTCTCACCCTGCATCTTCAGGATACTCAACATGTAAGTCGAGATGCATTCAGTTGACTTTTTGGAGCTTTCTGCCATGTTATTTGTACAGCACAGTTCGTACACAAAGTAATTCAAAGTGCTTTACAGAATAAGAAATACATTAAAATCACAATATAAACAAATCAAAACATAAATAATCATCATAAAATAAAAAAGAGAGACACATTAATCACATAAATTAGAGAGAAGAGTGCGGAATGAAAACCTTTTCAGTCATATGCGCAGCTAAACAGAACCGTTTTGAGCCTGGATTTAAACAGCGTCAAAGTAGAGGTCCATCTCACATGTTCAAGAAGATTGTTCCAGGTTTTAGCTGCGTGAACCTGAAACGCTGAGTCCCCATGTTTAGTCCTGACTCTGGGCACCAGCAGGAGGCCGGTCCCTGAAGTCCTCAGAGTGTGAGATGGTTCATGTGGCACTAACATGTCACAGATGTACTTGGAGAGACTTTAAAGAGCCGTTTTAAAGTAAATTCTCTGAGGCACAGGAAGCCAGTGCAGAGACCTCAGCGTAGGACTTACGTACATGTACTTTCTCGTTCGAGTCAGGACCCGAGCTGCAGCGTTCTGGAAGTACTGCAGCGTCTCACAGCTCGTTTGGAGAGACCAGTGAGCAGAACATTACAGTAGTCTAACCTAAGGGACACAAACTCATGGATAAGTTTCTCCAAGTTTGCTTTAGACAGTAAACCTTTGATTTTTGCTGTGTTTTTTAGATGGTAAAAACTGCAGATGTTACTGATTTGATGTGGCTGTTAAAGTTCAAGTCTGAGTCCATAATTACCCTCAGATTTCTTGCCTGATTTGAAGGTTTTAGAGAGAGAGACTGGAGGTGACTGCTGACACTGTCTCTTCTTTTCTATGGGCCAAACACTGTGACTTCAGTCTTGTCTGAGTTTAGCTGGAGAAAGTTGTTTTGCATCCCTTGTTTCCCTCCTCAAAAACATGCCTGAAGTGGTTTTAGACGACATCCATGCATGTTTGAGTAATCTAGCGATCTCTCTCGAATCCTCCGTACCGTTAGCTGTAAGCATGCTTCTCGTCGTTGCTCCCAAACGACAATTCTCCATAAATATACAAAAGCATGATGTAAAACAATACACTACAGCTTCACAAACCTGATGTGACATACTCTGTGTAGTATATATATTTTTTGGGGGAGTACTTTTTACTTGTGCTTAAAGGTGCATTGTGTAACTTTTCTGTTAGAGGGTTCGTCAAATGCTTGGAGATGTTATTGTTTTGTCTGGAATTTTTCACAGTGTAGTATTAAACCTTTCTATCTTCATGGAGACCAAACCAGACCAAGTTACAGGTCAGGTCTGCGGAGAGGTACTTTTGAGCTTAAAACCACCTGTAATTGAATAAATCTAAGTTAGAGCGGTTTAATGTCATACTGTGGAACATTCCAGGCAGAGCAATGACATCTCCATAGAAGCCAAAATGCCAAAAAGTTAAATAGTGCACCTTTAAACAAGACTCTCTCAAATAATATTACAGTCACAAGCTAGACAACAGGATTTTTCCAGTCAGCTTTTTTTTTTTGTTGTTGTTGAAAATGAAATCAATTATTTTGTCTTGAGTTTTCAGAGAGAAGGAATACAAAATTGACATATCTGTAGAAAGAAGGTGTCAGACCCTCCACCAGAAAAGTTACACAGCGCACCTTTAATTACAGTTTTGGAAGTAGTACTTGTAATTTTGTACATTTCTATTTCTATTTCTGTCTCACAATACGATACTTATTGTGATATCGTGGGAAAGCTCACTTGGGGAGGCTCATGATTAGGTATGATATTAACAAGAGTCAGGAATAAACTAACTCTTGTTAATATCTAATTTTCATCCTATTTAACACGTCTTTTCCAACTCACCTATGTGCTTTTTACAGTACTGTTATCTAAGACAAAGCTGTCATCACTTATATTTGCATTTTCAGCACATCAGCTACTGGCCTTGAGCTTAAAGCGTACGTCTGTATTACTTCAAAGTGGTTATTTGGATAATACGTTTTTGGGCTTTTTTCTGTTTAAAAGAAAAACTTACGCTTTATTTGAACACTACACAAAATGTGACTCGTAGTAAAACTGGATGTTTTACTAATTGATAATATTATTGTCGCGGGGGCAACAGTCTGAGGAGGGCCTCCCAGACTTCCCTCTCCACACACACTTCCTCCAGCTCTTCCAGGGGGATCCCGAGACGTTCCCAGGCCAGCCGAGAGACATAGTCCCTCCAGCGTGTCCTGGGTCTTCCCCGGGGCCTCCTCCCAGTGGGACATGCCCAGAACACCTCCCGAGGGAGGCGCCCAGGAGGCATCCGAAACAGATGCCCGAGCCACCTCAACTGGCTCCTCTCAACGTGACGCGACCCGACCTTGGATAAGCGGAAGAAAATGGATGGATGGATGGATAATATTATTGTTATTATTATGAAGAGCAGTGCACAGTATTGAGAGTAGAGTAGAGTTTTAGTCATTTCGAATCATATATTTTGTGAAAAACGATCCAAATTAATAAATGGATAAAAATATCAGAAGATCTTATCACCATCGACTGCTCTGGATTCTTGAATATCGGTATCGACTAGGATACTATATCGTCACGGTATGAACCTTACAGTACGATATTTCTTGCGATATCATGGGAAAGCTCATGATATGGTGGGGAGGCTCATGATTAGGGATGTAACAATATCCAAATCTCTCAGTACGATATTTTCATGATATAAATCTCACGGTGTCATATTTATTGCGATATTTCGTGGAGGCGAACAAAATTGAATATGGTACTTTTTCCTCTTAAATGCCTTGACAAGACTCAATCCAAAGAACTAAGACTTAAAAGTGCTTAGAACTGTTTTTTCTTCTTGTAGTCTGCACTGAAATGGAGCAAAGGATCATGGTCTATGTAGTTCCCTCTGTCTTTTTTAGCTATTGCTGCACCATAACTCTTAATTAGACAAAGAGACTTAATAATAAGGTGATATATTGTGATGGTCCATGATATTATTGTGAGAATTTTGATACGATATTTTGGTTGTTACATCCCGAGTAACTGCACTTTTACTTGAGAACAAATTTGCAGTTTTCATTCAAATGGCTGAACTCTTTGTAAAGCTGTGGCTCAGTAGTTTTGGCCTCTGTCTGATCTCTCATTATGAGTCTGATTTACTCTCATTATAAGTGGGGACAAGCTGTGCACAGAGGAAACTCTCATTTGAAATCCTGCCTGGAGTTTTATTTTGTATTTTTTGGTACATATAAATAGGAGTAAAGCTGCTGTTGGGAGGTATGGATTTACAGACAGTAGATGAAGTATAATCCATGTATGATTTGTTCATTTGTTTTTCAAAATAAAACTATTTGCTTCATTATTTGTCTCCAAAACCAAAATGAAAAAACGGATAACAATTAGTTTTTTCAGTTTTCGATTTTGTGTTTAAATGATTAATGAAAAAAACAGATAATGGACGTTTCCTGTTGCTGTGTTTCTGATCCTGGTCTGGGCCCGGTCTCAGTCCCTGTTTGGGCCCGATCTGGTCCTGGTCTGGTCCTGATCTCAATCCCAGTCTAAGTCCCGGTTTCATTCCTGGCCTGGTCCTGGTTTGGTCCCGGTCTCAGTCCTGGTTTCAGTCCAGGTCTCAGTCCCAATCTGGTCTTGGTCTCAGTCCTGATCACCCAACAGTCTACGCGGGCGCACCTCTGGGCCTGTCCCGACACGCAGTCCTGGTTTAGTTCTGGTTTCATTCTGTTTTAATCCTGGTTTAGTCCTATTTAAGTCCTGGTTCAGTCCGTATGCGGCGCAAAAGTCCAGCATCGCAGTTTAAGTCACAGAAACGAGAAACGGCCGTCATCCGTTTTTTCCATTATTCATTTAAACACAAAATCTAAAATTGAAAAAACAAATCATCATCCATTTTTGTTTTGGAGACAAATAATGAAGAAAATAGTTGTTTTCTGTATTGGTTTTCTTATTTTTGGTTTTATTTTGAAAAACGCATGAACCAATGATACATGGATTAACTATCTGTTGGGTCTTGACAATTCCTTTTTCACAGCTGAAGCCAAAATCACTCAAAGTAAACTGAAGGACTTGAAATAAAGTTAAAAAGTCCAGGCCGAATGCATGTACAGAATTCATATAAAGTCTGAAAAAAGAGGGATGCAGGTTTCTTTTCATATTTCACATTCTTAGTGACAGTTTAATTTTGTCAGGTGGTTGACAAAATATGATAAAAAACGATTCCAAAAAGCCTAATATACAGTTTACCCAGTTCTAACTTGGCGAAAGATAAACAAGGGTCACTGTAAGAGGCCATGTTCACTGTTCACATCACTTCTAACCAATGATTGTCGTCTTCAGGGCACAGAGTGTGTCAGCCAGACTCCTGCGGACCAAATGCAGAGTGCTTTTATTTTTCGGGGTATGGCATGTGCAGGTGTCTGTCTGGATATAATATGGAACAAAACGTCTACCCTCCAGAGGATGTACTGTGCATAGGTAATCCACCACATACTAGTTCACTTCATGGGAACGTTGGGGGCAGCTCTGACTGTGTTTTTGTTCCAGATGTTGACGAATGCCTTTACGCAGACGTGTGTGGGCCTCTGGCTAACTGTACAAATGGGGACGGAACATACAACTGCACCTGTTTCCCTGGATACGCACCACCATATCCAACTCAGATTGCATCTCCCAATAATCCTTGCTCTGGTAATCTTACAAGCTTCTTCCCATACAGTTTAATATATTTCTATTAAATTATTAAGTGTTTATTGTTACCTCACTGGATCAAAAATGAACTGGAGATGACGAGAACACTTGTGGGTAAAAATGACAAAATATTTTATCGGAAGTGCCTTTCGTTTAGACCAGACATGTCAAACTCAGGCCCGGGGGCCAAATTTGGCCCACGATATAATTATATTTGGCCCACAAGATCATATCAAATATGTTTGAGAGCTGGCCTGGCAGCTAGATAGGCTCTAGAGACATTATTTATTTAAAATTTAGGTATTATTTTATATTATGCTTCTTCTGGATTCTATGTTTAAGCAAAAACTATTATTAAATATTTATTTAAAAAACAGTTAATATTACATATCTCGAAAGAAGAGAAACATGCAGATGCTGAAATTTTTCAGTAAATATTTATTTTGGCTATGACTTAGTCCCAGGTTTTAATTTTGGCCCTCTGGGAATTTGAGTTTGACACCTCTGGTTTAGATGGTGACGATGTTTTTGGGGCTTAAAAATGCAAAAATCTGAAACCACCCTCCAGAGTGCTCCGCCGTAGCGTTTCCGTCTACACTGCCCAAGATGCAAAATTCTGGTCAGATCTGCTCAGGTCGTGTATGCGTTTACACATACATACAGTACACAGAAACAGACATTGGATCATTTCCATGGTGAGACCTTCAAGCTCCTCTGGCAGCTCTAATAAACTTACAGGAGGCTCCCAAGAAATGTACAGAATATGCAGAGATACTATTAGTGAACAGAGAAAGATCTGCAATCACCTCTGTCAAATTTTGAATGCATTAGTTCGTCGCAGGCGAGCCAGACGGCATGCACACCCAGTCGAATTCCACACACTTTTGCAGCACCGTATGCATGCAAATTTCCTCCTGAAAACGCTTAGCTAAACGCGGAATAAAAAGCGAAGACGCGACGCCACTTTTGTGTCTTCTGTTCAGACCGTCATCATATAAATGTAGCCTAGATATGCAGGGTTTTTGTGTTAAAACGTGTGAATGAAACAAAACACAACTCCAGATCTGTTTGTGATGAGGAAACATTATAACATAAATCACAAAACAGTATAATATGAAACTCTAATTTGAAGATATTTTCAAATGATCCTCTAAATATTTCTTAAACTATTAAAGGCAATTAAGATATATCCCTCAAATAAATGCCAGTCCTTCCAACACCATTCCACAACCTCCAACACACTGACCGTCCACCATTCTCGACTCCAGGACCATGCCACAAAGAAGCACATAGTTGGACATGTTTCTGGCCACACCATGTCTGAAAAATTTTAAAGTGCATATTCTCGTTGCCAGACCCCTGTGTTGAAATGTCAACAGGTCTGAAAAGAGAAGTCAAATTCCAAATCCTTGTCCGCTTCTCTATTCATCCCAAGTCTACTCCACTTGTCCAAGAGCTTTTTAAACTTTTAATTCACAAAAGTGCCTTGGCCTCTTTTTTCATCTTCAGTTTTGATTATCTACTTCTTGGACTACAACTTCAAGAACATTTTGTCCTTTTCCTTTTTGAATAAAGCATGTTATTTCCAATTTGGCCAAGACGCTATTAAAAATTAAGGCAGCAGGACCACTCTAAAACTAGTACCTCTCTAAAGCAGTGTGGCAGGGCAAGTGGTACGACTAATATAGAATAATGAATAAAAGAAAAGAAAATACAAAGTTCAACTACGCCACCTGGGGATCCTTCAGGTTTCATCAACTCTTTTTTCAATTGACTTTACGTTTACGTTCCTATAATGCACGAAATTGAGCTTTAAGTCATGTTATAAAGTTGTTACCTCATCAAAAATATACCTGGAATGCTCTGTTCCACCATGAAGCAGTAGTTTTCAATTTGACGGCTACTTTTTACCTTTCGTTCAGTAGAGACTTGAAACTTCAGGGCTGAAACTGTCCAAATTATTCTAGTGAAGGTCTATGGAGTTTAAAAACACAGTGGAGCACTTCATGTAATACCACATGGCATCACAAGGTCGAACAGAGTGTTTTCTGTTTGAGAGAAGAACTCTGAACTCTAAATATGCAGGGCTTGTGTGTTAAACATGTCTGAATGAAACAAAACATAACTCCAAGTCTGTTTGTGATGAGGAAACATTACAACATAGATCAAAAACAGCACAATATGGCTCCTTTATATACTTCTTAGACTAAAATTTCATGAGGCAAAACAGGATGCATGAAGCCCCATAACATGAGAATTAAAATGTGTAAATATTTAGTCTGAGAAACCCTGTCTAACATACATCATGTAAGTATTAAAGGAAAACTACATTAGGGCCAGTTCAAATAAATTTAGTCAATAGTAAATTGTCAGGGTCAAGAAAAATAGATCTGAGGGCCACATTTAGTTCCCAGGCCAGGACTTTATATCCAGGTCTAATCTAACTTGGAACATACCAATTTTAAACCAAGACAGATTGAAACTAGGGATTATAGATTATATAACAAATAGTACTTCAAAATGTTGTGTGCAGATTTTGACGATGCTCTTTTCGAATGTTTTTTTTTTTTCTTTTCACAGACATCGATGAGTGTACGAACACATCAATTTGTACGGCCTATTCAGACTGTATCAACACCGATGGGAATTACACATGCGAGTGCTATACAGGCTTTTACTCTGACCCTCCAGTTTGCAAAGGTCAGCTCCTAGTTTCTGTTTCTTTAGTTTTTTTCTTTAATTGTCAATACTATTCCGTCACTTGTAACCCTTTCCTCTCCTCAGATATTGATGAGTGTTCCGATACGACGATATGTGGTTACAATGCTACTTGCAACAACACCCTTGGTTCGTACACCTGTGAATGTGACGTGGGCTACAGAGTCACTAACTCCCTCTATGAGCCCAGCCCAACAAATCTCTGTCTCGGTAAAGTATTACACATTAACTGAGTACCATATGATTTGAGAACTGTATTTTTTGGAATAGACTTTAAGTTGCACTTTTTGGAGGAAATTTATTTTATAAAATCAGAGACTAGGAAGCAACATCATCCCGAAAGGCAAGTTATAGTAATAAAAATAGAACAGAGAACAACAGACTGTTAACATACCATATACAAACACATACAAACAACAGAACAAGTTTACCAAACTCTCCATCTCACTCCAAATCACTAAATCCATTCAATTCTTCATCCTCTGTGTCACAAAACTTACCGTTTTTGGCTGAATATTTCACTACTTGCAGCAGAACAGAGGCTATTTTTGCAGGAGACATGCACAGTAGAGGAAGAAGTGACAGAGGTACAGAAATAATAGGAGTTGCGGATACTGACACACAAGCCTAGATAGCTCCCTTGAGGCTGTCAGTGTGAAAATTTGTATATATAAGTCATAGGAAACACCCAAACCATGAAAAAAAGTGTGACTTATAGTCCAAAAAAGACAGATACATAATAGTTTTGAGTGCATTTGCCATGCTCCTTTGTAGTCAACTAATCAATCAGCCGGACATATCTTAAGTTGACCGAAAAGTGCTTTAATTAACTACAGCCCTTGAATTCTTTTCACTTTTACATTTAAATTAATATATTATGCAATCATTACTTTGTTTTCTTATTGTATACACTCCCAGTCCACATTTTGAATGCTCTTTCTCAGTCAAAGTTTATTTTTTTCTTCATGTTTATTACTTTGTACATTTTATATACATACAGAAGACATGAAATATACGATGCAAGATATATGGACTTATGCAGTAAAGAACAAAGTGAAATCATATTTAATATTCAAATCCTCAAAGTATCCACCTTTTATTTTGTTGACAGCTCCAAACCCTTGGACTTCTCTCATTGAGCTTCTTAATGAAGTCTCCTGAAATGTTTTTTACCTCACAAGTGTACTGCATCAGGCACAAAAAATACTATTATACTATTACTAATACTATTTATTTATTTATTTATTTTATGTATTTTATTTATTTTATTTTTTTACTTACTTACATACTTACTTACTTGCTTACTTACTTTTTTAAAATGTTCTTACTTGCTTACATTCCATATGTGTAAATTCATAGTTTTGGTGCCTTCTGTGATTTGATCAATATAAGTAATCATGAAAATAAAGAAGCAAAATAGATGAAAAGGTGTGTCCAAACATTTAACTGGTAGTGTAATTCAGACTCTACCTGTATAGTTTACTAGAGTTGCTCTCCCTCTTTTGCTATTACGAAGGGGTGCAGACAGGGTTGTCCCTTAAGTCCTTTGCTGTTTGTCACACCAAACATTTTTTTATGCTGGATGGTAAAATAAAAGGAAATGCATTTTACAACATGTTCTTTCCTTATAGACATTGATGAGTGTTGGGAGACCCCTGCAATCTGTGGAAGAAACGGCAAGTGCACCAATACAGACGGCTCTTTCATGTGCACATGTTACCCGGGCTATCGGCTGGACCCTGCACTGATGGGTGTCTCTGATCCATGCGTTGGTCAGTATTATCTTATTTGACAAATCATTTCGTACATATTCTAAAAGTGGATAAATTGTAATATATATGTTATGTTCTTTTCAGACATTGATGAGTGCAGTGAAACACCCGACATATGTGGCCCTTTGTCTTTTTGTGTCAATAAACCAGGGACTTTTTTGTGTGCCTGTTCTGATAGACATTATTCTTCCACTGGAATCATATGGACGGATGATACTACCTGTGAAAGTGAGACATTTTGTTACATCTGAGAGCTATAATTTAGTTTACGTATGGAAGATAATTAGTTTCAACAGTTTTGATTTATGCATAGATTTTCAATATAGGTGCTATGTGTAGTTTTACACTCAAAAAAGACGTTATTTTTATTGATGAGTTGATTAACACTTTTACTCTCCAGTACTTTTACTACCCTTTTAACTCATTTAAATTTTGAGTAATTGGTTTTGAATTTCTGACGTAATGTGCGTTCAACACCTTCCCACCCCCCTTCCCCGCCATTTCCACTGCAAATCTTTGTACACACTTTCATAAAGGACTTCTAGAAAGTCTGAAATATTCAAAAGGTATACAGTACATCAGCGAACGTGTTTCAGAGTTAAAAAATCAGTGTGTGAAATTCAACGGCATTTAGAATAGTAAATCTGATGAATTTATCTTCCATATTTAGGTCTATGTGAGTGTTTTAACTTCTATTCTCTTACATTCGACAGGCATTCCAGACATTTTGAAGACATATGAAAATTCTAAGGTAATCAATGACAAAGTTGCGCTTATAGCTGTGTAGAGATTTCAGAGCTTGAATAATTGCTGCTACTGTTTATGCACATTAAAAATAAATAATAGTATTTTGATCAGGTTAAAGTTAAAAAAGCTGAGTACTGACGGCTTCAACTGTCAGGAGGACTGCCAATGACAATTTCGGTACATTTACACTCTCCCAGTGCAATCTAAACAAATAATCAAATTAAACTAGCAGTAGAAATGAGTGGCACAGTTATTAATAGTAAATCAATCATGTGCAATGTACACTCCCACAAATAGCTCGTGTAGTAGTTTTTTTGGTTTGCAGTCTATGGCTACATTTACATGATGACGGCCTGAACAGAAGACGCAAAAGTGGCTTGGCGTCTTCACTTTTTATTCCGCATTTAGACTAGTGTTTTTGAGAAAAAGTCTGCATGCATATGGTGACGTAAAAGTGTGTGGAATTCGATTGGGTATGCATGCCAGGCAGCTGACGCAGGGTGGTGGTGACTCGAGGTGGTGATGTATGTGACGGCAGTGTAGACGGAAACAGATTCAGATGTTTTTAAGCCCCAAAAATGCCGTCACCAATAATAAATATAATAGTAAATAATAAATATTAGCCGGGCTGGCACCACCTAGTGCCTCCACTCAATTTCATTTCTCTCCAGCGACTAGGTCAGGAATCGGAATACACTAGACGGTTCGCAAAAATCCTGTAAGTGTGAGTTCGGGCACCAGCCAATCAGCGAAGAGCCATATATACTGTGTTGGCAACGATTCCCAAGATCGAGGATTTAAAATCGGAACAAAGAGAATGTTTGGTTAAAGATGTTATTGCCCTTCTTCCTACGGGATTTGGGAAAAGCTTAATATATCAGTTATCCCCGTTAGCGGCGCATTACATATGTCATGACCAAATAGCAGCGATTGGTTAAATGATAAAAAGTACCCGCCTACCTTCGAGCAAATGAACTCTAACGCTGCGAGGATGAATATACCCCTAGGTGTACAATCCCACTCTGTACTGAGTCCTAGGTACTAAAAATAAATAATGCATCAACAACTGCTATAACACAGATACTATATTTACAGGGTATGACTAAAGAGAAGGCTTTTTTTGCCAACATGGACAAACAGTTGAAGATGACAAAGGGAAGTTCCTTAAATGATGCGGTCAGTGTAAATACCTCAACTACAGAAATTAACAGCTGAAACAGTAAATATTAACTCTTTATTGTTGATCTGATTTATCCTGCAGATTGTTACAAACTGTTTCTCAGCATCTATGGTAGGGGATAGTGTTTAACTATTTCTAAATCTAACATCTACAATACTTTTACAGACCAAATCTTTACTTTCACAGGAAGTTGCAGGTGTAGGCCCATTTGTAAACCCGCCTAAAGTGAGCAGTGCTGGAGATGGAGAGACTGGAAGTATCATCCTGGACATTGGTGAACGTTTAATTGATGGATTCATGGAAAATGGGAACACGGAATCGCCAGTGATGATAACAACTTCTACCCTTCGTAAGTCTGCAGCTCAACAGAATGCAGTGATTTATTCCTAAAATACATACACTGCCGGTCAAAAGTTTTAGAACACCACACTTTTTCCAGTTTTTTACTATTTACTGTCGACCAAAACGTATTTAAAACTTTTGATTCATGAAAGTGTCGTCCTTTGTCAGATATAACAGCTGAACACACTTATGGTTTGTTCTTTTTACAAGAGAAATCAAATATTCTTCAGAAAGTTCTTCCCAAGTCTGTTGCAGAATTTTCCATAAACGTGTGGCACTTGTAGGTTGCTTTACTCTTCTGTCCAGTTCATCCCAAACCAGCTCGAAGGGGTTTAAGTCTGGACAGTGTGCTGGACACTTCATGTTTTCAAGTTTTACCATCTTGTTCTTTTTTCCTGAGGTAGTTTTGGCAGAGCTTGGACTTGTGTTTTGTATCTTTTATCTTTTTTTTAACCTCTGGCTCTTCAGTTCTTACCTTTCTACCATTTCGAGCTCTTCATTGGACTTGCACGACTTAAATGGCAATAAATAACTGGAAAAATTAGGGTGTTCTAAAACTAGTGTAGGTATAGATAAATGAAGCTGAGTACAGACAAACCAACTGAGGGCTCCTACAGAAGAAACACTGGAGATCCTAATATGAGCCAAAAGCAGAACTAGATGATAAAATAGCATTAAGAACATAATATAAAAAAAATATATACATATAAAAGTTAAGCTAAAAAGGTGGGTCATGAGCCTGCTTTTAAAACCAAGACAATATCCCAAGGTGGCACAGAGTGTTTTCCGTTTGAGAGAGAGACAAAATATGCAGGGTTTGTGTGTTAAAGGGACAGTCTAGAATTTTGAACATAGGACCTCATTTCCTAGTGAGCCAGAGACACTTTTTAACATATCATCCATCCAGTCCTTGTATTTGCAGAGGTCGCTGGTGCTAGACTGGTGCATGTCAATGGCCATAGTTATCCTGCCACTAAAAACTTACCCACTCCACAAAACACCCGAAGCAAATCTATTATTACACCAAACTGTTGATGTGAATGTCTGTGTCGATAGAATCATTTTAAAAGTAAAACCAGCCTTGCATTTGAAGGATTTATGTCTGAGCAGCAGCAGTGAATTGTACTTCCTGGTAGAAAGCTCGGCAGTGGTGGACTGATATCATCTAGCACTTATCTTACCGGCAAAGTAAAATTCTGCCGCTGCTGAGAAAATAGTCCCTCAACATGCAACGATTCATTCATTATTTCAGACATTATTCTGTCAACACAGACATTTACATCGAGAGTCTGGTGTAATAATACATTTTCTTCGGGTGTTTTGTGGAGTGGGTAAGACTGTTTTTAGTGGCAGGATAACTATGGCCATTGACATGCACTAGCCTAGCACCAGCGACCTCTGCAAATACAAGGACTGGATGGAATATATAAAAAAGTGTCTCTACACGTCTCCAACACTCTGGCTCACTAGGAAATGAGGTCCTATGTCCAAAAAATCTAGACTGTCTCTATAAAAATGTGTGAATGAAACAAACTGTGTTTGTGACGAGAACACAACATTATAACATGTATCAGAAAATAGTGTAATATTGGCCCTTTAACCCATACATGAAATACATAATTAAGTAATTATTCTAATCATGTCATTAATTATATTTGAGTAGAAGTACAGCAGTAAAGTAAAAATACTCACCACTGTTAAAATCTTGTTTTTTTAACTGCCAGAGTTAAATGGGATGATGTTCAACCCTGGAGACTATAAACCAAAGAGCTTTACTCTGGGAGCCGGTCAAATCACCATGGCGATCAACATAGAGGACCTGGCCAAAAACAACAATGGTACGTACCATTTACACATTTACAGTCATGAGCTTTTCACATCTGAGAGAAAAAGTGAAACCTGTTATCTTTCATTCGTCCAGGCGCGATTGAGTGTAGAGAAGGTTTCAGTGGTGGTCATCTGGCCTCTGTTTTTGTGATCAAGACGTATCAGCTAGAGATTTACCGATATGTGTCTTTTTTTAGAATCCAGAGCAACCCATGTTTCATTGACTTATTTTTGAGCTCATACGTAGGGACTATTTTAATCATTTTACCCCAAAATATATTATTTGAAAGTAATACTAGCATAAATATTATCTATGCTTTGTATTGGTTTTCATATAGTTTAATTTTGGTCTAAAAATTATTTCTACAATCTCAGTATAAATAGTTTTTAGACATCCACAATCCTTTTTCTACTACCAACCTATAATGGAGCAATGTAATCTCATCTTGTGAATGCCGTCATCGAACTTAAGTGTTAAAATAAAGCTTTATGCAACAAATACTGAGCCCAAACAAAACACCAACCAAGGCAGGCGATTTAAGGCCAAGAGCCAATAAACAAAAAGTCCAAACATCAGCCTCGTATATTGGTAAATCAATATATCAGACTATCTCTAGGTTCCCATCCAGAAGGCATCTTCAATTAAATGAACCGGCTTAAAGCACTGGGAATTGATTCTACTCTAAGTACCAAAGACTGACCCAGAGGAAAGAGTTTTAGGGTGAAACTGCCCTGCTTTTGTCACAGTAAACAATTCCCAGTAGTTCCAGCCAGTTCAATCAGTTGAAAATGGATTTCTGGCTGGGAGCTGAAACATTTCGATCACAATAACAGAGTCCAGATGACCACTGATGAAACCTTCTCAACACTGGAGCAAAATATCATGAACATTAATATTTCTCTCTTGGTGTGGTACACGTAAAACTCTTTAACTCTTCTAACTGTTCAGAAGATTACTCATACTGATTACCTTGATTATTTTTATTTTTTTACGCAGATTACGGGGCAGTTGCTATAATGAAGCTCAACGGCTTGGACAGTCTCCTCAGTCATCAGTACTTTGAAACGGAAAACACCACTGAATTTGCTGCGGATGTTTTCTCTGCATATCTCCCCTACATGAATAATACCAACATAACAGACCCGATCAACTTCACCATTCCACATTCAAAGGTTCTGCACAACTCTTATGCTTTTCAAGACTTTTTAGGGTTTTTATCCATGTTATGACGGTATCTTCCATCTTATAATGAGTTGCAATTCGAGAGATTCACTTAAGTCGTGTCCTGTATTCAAATTATAAAGCGACGTTATTCTGAGCATCATCACAATAAGGCTCCAAGGCAATACCATCGGCCCATACCTCTCATAGAGCCGTGTCATAAGCCTTGTTTTCATTGGTTCACTTTGGAGCAGATCAGTACAGACTAAATATTTCCACTGTTTTAAGTGAACTGTACTGGCCCATTTGAGGGAGCTGTAGCTGTGAGGTGTGAGCTTTCACAGGAGTCCAGCCCTTTTCAGATCTGCTGAAGGCAGGGGTCTCCAACCTGAAGCTGTCCCCCCAAGAAGCTCACCAAAGGATTTCTGAATTATATGCATTGCGCTTAATAACTAAAATCTGATTTATTTCCACTGTAAATGTGCCATTTTGATGCCTGACTTGTGCACTAACAAATGGCTAATGGTTTATGTTTAATAAGCATCTAACTGTACCCCATTGAAAACTTGCCCTAGTTCTTTTTTTTTTCAGTTTTCAATAGCTTCTTTTTCAATTTCTTGCAACTGATAAAATGAGTAGCTCTTTTGCATTTTCGTGTCATAAAGGTAGCTCACCTTGGAGACCTCCGGTTTAATGGGAGCAGATACCAGTCAAAATGTAGCTATAGTGGCAACCAGCAATTATGTTTTTTTTAATATATGAAAAGTGCAATTGTTATGTGCCTTTTCAGAAGAAATAACAGATCCATAGATCGGCAGTAGGCTATTAAGCCAGAAGTCAGGATAGGTGACAACACAAAGTTCCATTAGCTTAGATCAGGGGTCTCCAACCTGTAGCTCATGAACGGCCAGTAGCTTGCCAAGGGATTCCAGAATTATACCACTGTGCTGAACAACAAAAAATGTGTTAATTACAAGCCTATTACCATTGTGCATGTATCATTTTGAAGCCCAACTTTGTGCACGAATAAATGGAAAATGGTTTATGTTTTATAGACATCTAAATGCACCCAAAGGTTTGCCCTCTTTCTTATAATCGTCTCTGCGGCTGCTAAAGTGAGCAGCTCTCTGGCATTTTTGTTTTGTAAAGGAGCTCACTGGAGGAAAAAGGTTGGAGACCCCTGGATTAGACAGTACTAGTCAGATCATAAATCTGAAATTTGTTCCACAATGAAATATGAATTGTGTCAAATAGACATCACACATTCATCAAAGCTCATCGTGGCAACTATGATTTTATGGATTAAGCTCCTCATTTCGCTTCAGGACAGACTGATGTATGAGGGACTATCTGAGTCTGACCCTGTTAGAGCGAGGCACACAGTACTAGCAGCACATACTCTGAGTTTAGAGTTCAGAACATGGATGGGGTCAAAGATGAAGTTCTAGGCCAGGTTCATGATGCTATTGTGGTGTGTGGCCTTAAACAGTCCACCCAGGGGTTGACCCACAACAGTTTTAATCAAATGTTTGAGTCCAGATTTTGCCATGACTGAGAGGCAGTTGCACCATACAGCACTAGAGCACTTTTTTAGTTTTAATAATAGGATAGAAGTATAGACTATCTGAAAAACTAATACAAAAATCACATTTCAGAACATGTTTGTACAGATCTAAACTACAAGGTTAGCTATTTTTTATCCAGAATAAGAGGATATTTTGTTGTGTATGGAGGAAATTATATTACTAAAAAATTGCAGCCTTTGTGAGTTGTTAATTGCGTCAAATTACACTTCGATTGTGACTGACCTTGCAGCTCATTTCTAAATACAACTCGTGAGCTAAAGATGAGAGAAAACCATTATACCATCGTCAAGTATATTTCCATTTTCGAGCTGGTGACAAGAAAACCTGCTTTATTTATTCTCAGATGTTTCCCAACGATTCTCTGCCGACATGTACGTATTGGGTGATAGAAAAAGCAGCTGAAGAAGAGAGTGAAGCAGCAGGAGGAGACACTGAGGACGGTGAAGAGCTCTCGGGTTTCACGGGTTACTGGTCGACGGAGGGCTGCTGGGTTTCCTACACCCACGAAAACTTCACTATATGCAGCTGCTTGCATCTCTCCACATTCGCCCTGATTATGCAAATGGGAGAGGTAGGAAAAATATCAATACAGAAGTTTGCTAAAATGGCTGTGCTAACTCCATTTCCCTTAATGTTTATTTTAGCCTCCACCAGAAAGTGACTTCCTGAACTGGCTCAACCGGATCTGCGTCGGTATCGGACTCTTCTTCTTCGCTCTTGCCATTCTCACCTTCCTCTTGTGCAGCTGGAACCCAAAAATCAACAACACCGCTCGCCTCCACCTGTGTCTCAATCTAGGCCTGTCCCATCTGCTTCTGTTGTTTAATGAGAATTTTTATGCTGATGAGGTAATGTACTTTTTTTTATATCTATAACGTTGTTGTCAATGTAATCCCTGATTCATCTAGGACGGGTTCATGGTGTCAGAGGTAGCCTGTCTCAGCCACCATTTGGATGCCATTCTTAAAACATTTCTATTAGAGGGTCTGCCACCTGTTTTGTCTCCTTGGAAATGTTTTTTCCACTGTATAGATTAAACCTATTTATTACGAGGGAGCAGAGTCCTGCACTGGGCCGGGTATCCACAAGTATAGTTGCTGAAACGGGCGGATTTTAACGTTCTGTAATTTTACGGATGGGTAGATGCATGGGCGGTCTAGGACTAAACCAGGACTAAACCAGGACTAAACCAGGACTAAACCAGGACTAAACCAGGACTAATCTTAAACTTGAGAGAGAGAACCCCGAGCCTGCGGAACAGGGTGCCCGCAAAGCTTGATCGGGCAATGGCTGCACTTAGGTCCGTGTGGTGTAGAACTCTGAACCGGTACTTTCGCCCGCGGTGACCCGACAGTCTATGCAGGCGCACCTCACCAATGTTAACGAGTCCGGGCGGGTGCGGGTTTGATATATTCACGGGTTAATGGACGAGTGTGGTGCTATACTGCGTGGATGCGGGCAGGTGCGGGTCTCCAAAAATGAACCCGTGCAGGACTCTGCAAGGGAGACAAGCAGGTGACAGCACTATGCTACATTACAATTCAGATCTGTGGAGAGTCACCTCTATTCACAGAAGAAATTATATTTCTGAGCAATAAAAACATGCCTAATCAATAAATGCTAGATGGAAATGTTTAATGTCATAACTTGGAACACTCCAGGCAAAGCAATAACACCTCCATGGCGACAAGTTCGTAGCAGAGAACCACTAGAAAAGTAACGCAGTGCAACTTTAACAGCAGAGAGAGAGGGGCAGTGGGAGAAAATAGAGCGGAGTGACCCAAAACTGTAAGAAAAGGAAAGAAAAGTTGGTGTCCATGTATTACAGTTAGTCACCTTTACAATGTCAAGACGTTTCAACAACCATCACGAAGCAGAATGGTTCAAAATTGAAAAAGAAAAGAAACATTATGGTCAGTGTAATTCTTCAATTATCAAGGAGTAGGGCATGATATCGAAGGTCGTCATCCAGACAGTGTTTTTAAACTCAAGACGTTTCAACAACCACTTGAAAGCCATTTTTAACAGCAGTGAGAAAGAGGATGGCAATGAACAATACAGCAGACTAAAGTAAAATAAAGAAAAGTGGTTGCCAATATAATCCCTCATTCATCTAAGAGTGGTTTATGGCGTCATCAGGACAATGTTTTGGAGCTCAAGATGTTTCAGCAACCATCAGAAAGTACTTCTTAACATCAGTGATAGGGCATCTGGCAGAGAATAACAATAGAGTTGTTGTCCATGTAATCGCTCGTTCATTTGGGAGTGGTTCATGGTGTCAAAGGTAATCATCTAGACAATGTTTTTAAATAAATCAAGACGTTTCAGCTATCACCCAGAAGCCTTTCTTAACAGCAGAGAGAGAAAGGGGATGGGGGAGAATAGAATAGAATGACCCAAAACTGTCAAAATAATAATAAAAAAAATAATGATGATGATAAAAATGTTGTCCATGTTTTACCTTTAGTCATCTGGACAATATTTTTTAGGTCAAAAAGTTTCAGCAACCAGCAGAAAGCAATTCTTAACATCGGTAAGAGGGCATCTGGCAGAGAATAATTCAGCAGAACGAAAAACTGAATAAAAAAAAAAGTTGTTGTTGATGTAATCCCTCATTCATTTAGCAGTGGTCTATGGAATTAAAGGTAGGACAAGGTTTTTAAGATCAAGATGTTTCAGCTATCACTCAAAAGCCATTCTTAACAGCAGAGAGAGACAGGGGATGGGTGAGGATAGAGCAGAATGGTCCGAAACTGTCAAAATAATAATAAAAAACAATAATGATGATGATAAAAATGTTGTCCATGTATTACATTTAGTCATCTGGACAATGTTTTATTGGTCAAGATGTTTCAGCAACCCTCAGAAACCAATTCTTAACAGCAGTGAGAGGACATCTGAGCAGAACGACTCAAAACTGAATAAAAGAAAAGTTGTTGTTGATGTAATCCCTCGTTCATTTAGCAGTGGTCCAAGGAATCAAGGGTAGGACAAGGTTTTTAAGATCAAGATGTTTCAGTAACCTGCAGGAAGCCATTCTTAAAAGGAAGGAATGAGCGAGGGGATGGGAAAGAAGAGATCAGAATGACCCAAAACTATCAAAAAGTTGTTCGTAGAGCAGTCAGATCTAGTCACCCACAGGTTATCGGTTTGCTTCGGCCGTAACGTCTGTGTCCACTGGTGTATGAATGTGTGAAACTGAACAACTGAATTATGTGTAGGTTAAAAACAAAAAAACAAAAAAAATCATCATGTTTTTCACACAGCTGGCTTGTAAGGCGATAGCAGGGATTCTCCACTTCTTGGTCGTGGCCAGTTTTGTGTGGATGCTGCTGGAGGCCGTGCAGCTCTACATGCTGGTCCACAGGCTCAACAAGGTCCAGGTGATCGAGAGAGACGGCCTCCCCAAGCTCGTCCTCTTCCTCATCGGCTACGGGGTCCCTCTGCTCATCGTGGGCGTCTCTGCTCTGGTCTATCACCCGGGATATGGAGCCACTGCTGGAAATGTGTAAGTACAAGTAAAACGTTTGTTCTAAATACAATGTTCAATCAATACAATCATTTTTTTTTAAAAGAAATTAAGAACTAAGAAAAAGTTATTATATTTCTCTTAGAGGGGTAAGTATATGGAACAACTTGAATGATGATTTTAAAGAAGTCCAATCCTGTAGAAGCTTTTGAAGAGGGGTTTAAAGCATTATGTTTTTCAGTTTTTTTTTGTTTTTTTACGTTTTCTCTTATTTATACAGTATGTCCTAAGTCAGACATGTCCAAACTATGGCCCGTGGGTCCAATGCGGCCCTCTGACAATTTTTTCTTGGTCCTCAGGCTTCCAGGAGAATTGGCCCAAATGACCTTTATTTATTGTTTTAATCTACCTTGATAAAGCCAATATTTAATATTTAGTGTGTGGTTTTGAGGATCTTAGCATGAATAAAGACAGATGGCTCATTCTAGTGTGTTAAACCTGCACATATTTAAATTATTTACTGTACTGAGCACCAGTTTACTGCCCTCGATCAGCCCTCAGCTTCATCTGTGTTTAAATATGTGGCCCTTGATGAAAAAAGTTTAGGCACTCCTGCCCTAAGTGAAACTGTAAATGCAAACTTGCTGTTCATACGCTGCTTTTCTTTCTTGGAAGTGCGTTGTTGTTTAACATGGTTAGGCTTTAGAAGTACTGCAAAATGACTGAATAAACTACAATACTACTACTAAATATTTGTATTATTATTTCAGCTGCTGGTTGTCCACAACCCGCAACTTCAACTGGGCTTTAACAGGACCCGTGGTCACTATTCTCATTGTAAGTTTAAAAATTATAATATATATATATGTATTTATAATTGCAACTGTATGTATATTTTACTGTCACATGAGTAAGCTGAATAACTTTGAGGTAGTACACAATAGTCATGAATGTTATTTATTTATTCATAGTGTAATTATAAAGCAAACAACAACAAAAATAAGTTCTATTTCTAAGAGGCAAAAGTGGCATCGCGTCTTCACTTTTCCACATTTAGACGAGCGTTTTCGGGAGGAAATCTAAGTGCATATGGTGACGCAAAAGTGTGTGGAATTTGATTGGGTATGCATGCCAGACAGGTAGGTGGTGCTGTGATACACTATCACATGTCCGCGTGCATGCGTAGAAGGTGGTAGAGGTGATTACAGATCCTTCTCTGTTCACTAATAGCATCTCTGCAGATTCTGTACATTTGTTGGGAGCCTCCTGTAAGTTTATTAGAGCTGCCAGAGCAGCTTGAAGGTCTGACATGTGTCTGTGTACTGTATGTATGTGACGTAAACGCATACGCGACGTGAGCAGATCTGACCAGAGTTTTGCGTCTTGGGCAGTGTAGACGGAAACACTATGGCAGAGCGTATTCAACTTTTCCACTCTGGAGCATAGTTTCAGATTTTTTGCATTTTTAAGACCAAAAAACACCATCACTGTCTAATCAAAAAGCACTTCTGATAAAATATTTTGTCATTTTTACCCGCATGCATTAAGTCTGGTTTGGTCTCCATGAAGATAGAAAGGTTTAATACCAAAACTGTGAAACATTCCAGACAAAGCAATAACATATCCATGGAGAAAAGCATTTGACAGACCCAAAAAAGTTACACAATTTTTTTTTTCAGCTTAACTTGATGCTGTTCTGTGCTACACTATGGAGCCTCAGAACCACCTTGGCCAGCATGAGGAGTGGAGCGTCTAACTCCAAAGATACCAGGTCAGCGCTTCTGTTGCATTTCTCTAAACACTGACCATTACAGTAGAGTGGACAATGGATGATAATTTCTCCGAATGATTTCCCAGGCTTGTGTTGTTCAAGATCGTGGCCCAGTTCGTGATTCTGGGCTGCACCTGGATCCTGGGCCTGTACCAGTCCAACCTTTTCTTCCAAATCCTCTTCATAGTTCTCAACTCACAGCAGGGGACCTTCCTCTACATAGTCCACTGTGTGCTCAACAAAGAGGTAACAGCACTCAGAACGATCAACAGACTCAGACTATTTATGGAGACCAACCGATTTTTCGTTTTTCTTCTGCACAGATTCGAGAAGAGTGCCTCAAATGCCTCACATGTTCTCACAGTAAAGAGAAGGACAAGGATAAAACGGTAAGTTGAAAAATATAATATTCAACCTACCACAGAAAATAATGTTGATTTTTTTTTTTTTTTTTTTAAGGTATCGACCACATATGACATAGATAAATAATAAGTCTTCGAAGATTACTGTAGCAGACATTACAATTACAAAATGGCAATTCATGTTTTTTTTTAATTATTATTACTTTAAAGGGCCTGTACCTGATTTCGGACATATTTTAGTTTCAACTTTAAGCCCTGTCCACTTAGTCCTTTCAGTTGTTTCCTTAAAATTCTCAAATCTCTGCAGACTATTTGCAATTTTGTCAGTCTTTAAAATGTCCGGGATAGTGTCGGAGAATTGGTTTCCTCTGATTCTTAGTAACAATGTGCCTGACTGGATGAAAAATGTTTGTATTAGTTATTATCCAAGAAAATACTTTGTAAAATAAACATGTATTACTTATTTACTCGTTTTTACTATAGGATGCATAATGTAAAGAGTTTATTTTGAAGAATAAATTCAAATCAGGTACTGGCCCTCTAAATGGAACTGTCAACAAAGTCTTATCATGTTTATTTCACAAAACCGGAAGACGTTTGGAAACATGTGGATGACGACTTCCTCTCCCTTTTGGTGATAGTAACTCTGACAAAATGACCTGGTTTTATTCATCTAGATCAGACATGTCAAACTCAGGCCTGGGGGCCAAATTTGGCCCGCGATATAATTATATTTGGCCCGCGAGATCATATCAAATATGTATTAGAGCTGCCCGCCGACTACAGATACGTAGACTATAGAGACATTATTTAAAATGTTATTCTTTTATATTCTGCTTGTTCTGGATTCAATCTTTAAACAAAACTATTATTAAACATTTATTTTAATCAGAAAAGGTTTAACATTACACATCTCGAAAGAAGAGAAAACATGCAGATATTGTTGAAATTTTTCAATAAATATTTACTTTAGCACGTGACTTAGTCCCAGTTTTTAATTTTGGCCCTCTGTGAATTTGAGTTTGACACCCCTGATATAGATGTCATTGCGTTTTCTTTTTTCATTTATAAATTGCCTATTAATTTGTGTATTATAATTTGTCTAACTTAAAAAATATACACACATAAAAAGATGTCATTGTAGCATTCCGTTACATTCGGCAGATCAACAGTTACGACCAGCTGTTCGTAAGTGACACTGAAACCGCTATTAGAGTCCCGTCCTCCATGGAAATCTTTGGCAGGTTGTGAAAACTGCCGCTGCTGAATCCATGGTTTTATCACATGCCCAGTGTCGGGAACTACACCAGAAGTTATCATTCGTATGTTTCCAAACGTTTTCCGGTAAGCGTGAATAGAGCCTATTAGTCTCTTTGTAAAAACTTTGTACAAAAAAGAAGTTGTGGTGCCATTCTACAGTTAATCAAAACTACCCTCTGCTCGGTGGTGGAAGTCTGTCTATGTCCTTTTTACCAACTGTGCTAGCATCATGATATCAATGTTATTCTAAGTTAAAAGTTACGGACTTGTCATTATTGTAATTTTTCCTAGCTTTTATTGTAGATTATTGGATGTGATTTATGTCATAGAGCCAAACTGATTGTATAGTACTTTCCCTTGAAATGTTTAAAAATCTACATGTAATCTGTATTATATGTCCTTCCCCTATCAAATCACATATATTTTAAATAAAGTCTGTTGTAAGATCTGGGACAAGCATCTGTGTTTTCATATTCTGTAGTTTCCTGTAAAGTAGGATGTTTTGAAAGATATAGAGCTCTGGAATGAATGAATTATACATAAAATTTTGTTAGTTTTAATTTATATTTTGTCTCTGTGTAAAGTAACTCGTAAGTGAAATTGTAACTGCAAACTTGCTGGTCTTATGATGATTTTCCTTCTTGAAATTCTGTCATCGTTTTATAGTGTGGTGTTATAAATACTTTTTACTTCAGCCTAAACCCTTTTGGTCATGATCTTGTTTTGTAGTGCTGCAAAATGACTGAATAAACTCCTACTAAAAAAAGGAAAGTACAATTTTACATTTGATAAACCACGTGTACTAATGGAATGGGTTTGTTTTATGTTGGAGTGCATAAAGGGTACTAAAAACGATTAGGTTTTATTATCAGAGCAGCTCAACTGGCTGATGTGATTGTCCAAAACTCCACTGAGAGTCCCTCCTCTTCTTCGCAAATGATTTCAATGGATGCTATACCACAGATATGTCAAACTCAGGCCCAGGGGCCAAATTTGGCCCACGATATAATTATATTTGGCCTGCGAGATCATATCAAATATGTATTAGAGCTGCCCGCCGGCTATAGAGACATTATTTAAAATGTTATTATTTTATGTTATGTTTGTTCTGGATTCAATGTTTAAACAAAACTATTAAACATTTATTTGAATAAGAAAAGGTTTAACATTATCTCGAAAGAAGAGAAAACATATTTTGTTTGACCCACGACTTAATCCCAGTTTTTCATTTTGGCCCTCTGTGAATTTGAGTTTGACACTCCTGCTATATCAGATCTAAATTACACAGCTTGTTTTTATTACTGATATATTTTACCGGGTTAGTTAAGATGCTAAAACTTCACCAGATATTTGTTACTTCATAAAAGGTTATGCAAGTGATAAACTCAGTAATTATTATAAGCTTTTTTCCATTAAAGGGCCTGTAGTAAATTTTTTTCATGTAATTAAGTTTTGCACCAGTACTGATATATTGTAAAAGAAACTCTTGGGGTGAAAATGAGACAAGTGTCTGAGGTCTGCATCTAATCTAATCATCTAATAATAAAGAGTTTTAATCTCTGCAAAACAGGAAGTACACTGTTAGCAAACTAATGTCATAGCAGAGTTTATCGGTTTCATGGTAAAGCTGTTTGAATGGCGCTGATAAACTCTGCTCTGGCCTCTGAGAGTTGTGAAAAAAGCTTATAAACTCATTGTGAAAAAAATAGGATGCTCAGAATGCATAAGGTAAATGAGGAATAACTCTGGACCACTGCAAAGGTTTTGGGTTAGACTCCAGGAAACAATGTGTTATTTTATTAGAAAACTTTAACAAATTCAAACTGATTCTTAATACTAGGGTAATGGTAGAACTAAAATGTCCACTTTATGTTTTATCTTCAGTCTTTGCTTCTGTGCTTCAGTCCATGGTTATTCTGTGAGATAAAAATGCATCTTGTCGTTGACGTTTTTGCGCTCGGGGTTGAGCCTCTTGAGGATCTGAGCTAACACGTTCACCGTCTGCTCGTTGCTCAGACCCGTGCGTTTGGTCTGGAACTTCTTGAGCAGGTCTTTGGTGGTCATGGGCTTCCGGATCAGGTACCTCCTCACGGCCTCCTCTGTCAGCTGGACGTCACTGTGGAGGAGACGGGACACAGGAAATCAGCGGTTTTAAAATGTCTCTGGGATTCTGTTGCAAAAAGGTCTTTGCATACTTATTTCAACACTGTACTACTGAACCTTACTTTTCAAGGTGACAAGAGCTTTAAGATGAATCGCAATAGAAGAGAAATTGCAACTTGAATTTTCGAAGTGACATAATTTCCTCCACAAAGAAGAAAAGATAAGACATAACATAATATTCTGTGTTACAGCTGCTAAGCCTATTACCAGTATTTTCCGGATGATTAGACGCGCTCTTTAGCCTCTAACCGCATCAAAAAATGGCCCCCGCAATCCAGAGCGCCCATACACGAATCCACTCGGGTGTCCCAGCACGACTTCAGTAAACTATAAAGCTGCACCATCCGCATCGCACGCAAACACACAAGGAGCAGACAGTGACCGCACAGCGAAACACACCCGCAGCCACACTCATCACTCCACACGGACGAGGAATGGAACGAAGGAACGAACCGAAAAAGCGAGTCCAATGTGCCACTCTGAGCCACAACTGAACAACTGAGTCACTGTGAACACGCCGACAATCCAGCGGTCCCAGACAGCACCCTCCCTACACGCCACAACTGAACAAAGCCCAGAGTCACCGTGAACACAACAAACAAAGTCCCACTGACCCATCCAACTGTTGTGTTTCGTTTAAAGTCCGGTGTGGTTTATTTGTGAAAAAAGTTTGAAAATAGACCATTTAATGACAGTGTGTCTCATAGTCCAGAGCGCCTAATAGCCCGTAAAATACGGTATTTAAGAAAAAAAAAAAATCACAAATCTAAGCTCCATGGCAATGCTTGTCACAATCACACTCTGATAGTGAGTGCCTTGTACCTTGAGCTCGGTGTAGATTTTCCAGAAGCAGGCTGAGGCGTGCTCTTCCCAGAGGGGGCGGGGCTCTGACTGTTGGGCTCCATCTTGAGCCTCTTGGCAGCAGGAGTGTCTGTGGCTGAGCCGCTCTGTCTTTTTCCTGTGGATGGGACAGTACACTTCAGTCAAGAACACTGTCATAGTGTAATGCACAATGAAATAAATAAAACAGCACATGCACACCTTGCTCGAGCTTGCTGGCAGCCGCCCGCAGAGTGCTGGAGGTGGAGCCAGAGTCGATGGAGGGAGTCCCAGGACGACTCCCGGTCCTGGAGCTGCCGGCGGAGCCACGTCCCCCTGCACGCTTTGGGGGAGTGCGCTTTTTCTAACAACATACACAACAAGTATAAGAACTCTTCACGAGAGGTGCTCAAATGAAAAGCTTTTTTACAACTAACTGATAGATGTCAAAATACACATTTTGGGTTGAGCAGAAATGGTACCAGTAGTCATGAAACAAGCAGAACTCTATTTCATTCCTACTTCAGTGCTTTCACATTCAGTGCTTTTAACATCACCCTCTGGCAGTCGTCCGGGATTCAGAGAACTGTAGTCACATCTGCAACTTTTATTTGGTGACAACCGTAACACCAAATTGAACCCATCCCAATGACAATATTTACTTTGAATGTCCCTTTACGTGGTTTATATGATGTAATACTGCTTCATAAAATCCCACTGTACATTTTGCTATTGACACACTTTTAGAACCAAGACCATTCTCACCATGAACAAAGCTGATGCCGTCTCTCCTTCGATGTCGCTGTCGTCTGAGCTTTCAGACTCACCACTGCTGTCTGCTGATGGAGAAAACACACATAATAAACACATTATTTCATCATGAAATACTCCACTCCAGGGCACAGTGGGTTGTTGTCGGATCTGCACCTTTCTTCTTCTTTTTCTCTGGTTGGACGGGGGTCTTCTTCCCATCGTCCTCTTCCTCCTCCTCTTTTGTTTCCTCCTCGTTCTGTTTCTCTTCTTCGCTCTCTTCTTCGCTCTCAGACATTTCATCAATCCCTTTTAATGATAACAACAACAAAAAAACATGATACAAGAGGTCAGGTAATTAAAATATCTTGCCAAAATGAGATCTTATTCTGTGTAAAAGCTGCTAAATCTAGAGCTTAGACTTCTACAAACATGTCCTGAAAAACATGGGATTCTTGGATTATCTTAGCAGTTCATATTTCAGTCTTCTCTTAAAATAATAATAAAAATAATACTAAATAATACTAAAAACCAGACCAACCTTTGGGGTGTTCCTCTGCTTTGACTGGCTTCCCCTTCTCTGGTTCCTCTTCTGAACTGGAATGAAAAAAAAAACACACACACATTAAATTTTAAGAAAAGTACTAAAAAAATTTGATAGAGGCTCTTTAAAATATTAAAATGCAATGTTCATAATTTCATAAGAAAAGAAATTGGAAGAAACTATGATTTTAAATTTCTATTGTAGAGGATAGTCAGTTTGCTTCTCCATTACACTATATTTCTCTTTTATGCTATTTTCAACCAAGACATGCAGGCAAATTTTAGAACATTCCTGGTGCATTGCTCAAATATCGTCTTGACATCATTCCTGAGATCTCATTATAATAAATGTTTGTCATTGTTGCTCACATCTATCTAAAATACACTGGTTGAGCGAAATAAATAACATTATGCCCCAGTTTCTTCCATTGCAAAGTTTTGAATGGATTTGTTTTTCAATTTTTAAAGCGTCTCTTGTATGAAATGTCCCGTACCTGCTTTCGTCAGACATGTAGTCCACCTCCAGTCCTTCGTAGTCTCCGTCGTCACTGTCCTCCAGAGCCTCGTGCTCATTGCCCTTTCTCTTCTTCTTCTTCCCTTTGCCCTTACCGGCGTCTTTTTTAGGCTTCGATTTGCTCTCACCGTCTAAAGGCGTCACAAAGAAAAACAGAATAATTTAGTTTTTTTTAATATATATACTGTAGCTGTTCATCTATTTTGTGTCAATTTTAGGTCAATAATTAAAGGTCTGTCTTGTTTATGTTAAGAAAATAATAAGTTGAATTGTTTATAAGAGACCAAATCAAATCCAACACAAAATTATTGTATGGTAATATTGAGACTAGACTAAAAGACTGGAATTTGTACACATAACTCAATACAAGTCCATGAAGAACTGAGACCGGGACAGAGACCAGGATTAAACTGGTCTGTTCCCGGTCTCTGTTCCCGGTCTCTGTTCCCGGTCTCTGTTCCCGGTCTCTGTTCCCGGTCTCTGTTCCCGGTCTCTGTTCCCGGTCTCTGTTCCCGGTCTCTGTTCCCGGTCTCTGTTCCCGGTCTCTGTTCCCGGTCTCTGTTCCCGGTCTCTGTTCCCGGTCTCTGTTCCCGGTCTCTGTTCCCGGTCTCTGTTCCCGGTCTCAGGCGCTGTCTTAGATGTCTTTAGATTTCAAAACTGGTGAATATTAGAGTAATGCTAACGATTCCTCTCACAATAATATGAACACAATTTGTATTCATTATCTCATGTATATACGCTGTGTCCTTACCCTCTCCTCCGCTGCTGTGGCTGTCGTCACTGCTCATCTCCAGGTCGTCCTCCAGGTCGTGTATGCGCAGGTCTCCTCCTCGCCCTCCGCCCTTCTTCTTCTTCTTTCCCCCTTTCTCTGCCTCGTCCTCTTCGTCCTCCCCGCGCTCCTGCTCCCTCAGACGCCTCTGGAGCATGATGCTGAAGTGGTTCACGACTTTGTTCCTCCTATAAAAACATGGAAGAATAACCCAATAACCCAGTCAGTTTTAATATATCAATATTTAAATTCATATTTTAATTAGCCTCTCTTAAACACAGGAGTTTTCTGTGTTATTCTGTGAATTGCCAATTGTCATTTTAATGTTCAAAACAAGTGGAAAGTCAGAAATCAGGGCAAAACGATTTGGAAAAAATATGCAGTTGTGATATTTCAAAATTTAATTCCACTTGAGATTTAGAGAGAGATTTAGTTTCATCTTTTAAAACACGTTCATAAGACCAAGGACAAAACAAGTGAAATGTGAACTGAAACTAACATGAGAATCTCATCCATTCAAATTGCAATTTCGATTAGATTTTAATTACTCTTGCCAGGAATCTCACATTTATTCAGAATTTGGTATGACACTGAGGCTAATAGATTATATTATAAAAGATTATAAAATAGAATAATAATCAACATACATCAATTTAAAGGTATAATATTATAAATGGACTGAAATAACCCTGTGCTAGGTCCAAGTCTCCCACCTGCCCCACTCCTCCTCGGCCTCCTCCGCTGTCAGTGTCCGGTGCTTGGCCACAGGCATGAAATTGTACCAGCCGTGCACTGGAAAGGCCTCGAACGCACCGTCAACACACTGTGTGAAGATGTAGTATGACGCGTTCTCTGTAACACCGCCCTTCTTTATTCCCTTAAACCTGGAAAGCACAAAATAAGTCATGCAAATTAATACAAATAACTACAGTAGCTAGGTTTTACTTGCAATAAAGTCATAAATAATATGTTTATTACATATAATTCTAACTTGCCAGTCCAAAAATATAACAGATAAGATATTATAAATGCTAAATGTCCAGATAATGTTTGCTTAATTGTACAATATGGCGAGGAGAAAAATCAGTTTGTTGACTAGACAAAAGTTAGTTTGGTTGAAGACGTTTCGCAGCTCATCCAAGCTGCTACTTCAGTTCTGGTCAGATGCTGGTGGACACTTCCTTATATCTGTCTACAGGAAGGAGCTAACTAACTACTCTGAAACTAACACACCTACTTGTTTACCGTTTCTGTTAGTTAGTTAAGCCTATTGACCTGTGCAGGGTGTGGGGTCTACTTAGCATAAAAATTCAGGGCCATAATGGGTGCTTCCTCACCTCTGACCTGACCTGGCTACACCTGTTGTTCTCTTGTTTGTTTTGATTTAGGTTTGAGGATGGAGTTGTAAATAGGAGATAGATGGTGTCTGTTTAGAGAAGGATATTCTTTCTTAACAAAAATAGCTTCTTTCACTTCCCTCTCAAACCAATTATTTTCTCTGGCTAAAATCTGTACCTCGCTGTCCTCAAATGAGTGGCCCGTGGCTTTTAAGTGGAGATGTACAGCAGACTGACGTCCTGTGTTGCTATCTCGTCTGTGTTGGTGCATCCTCTTGTGAAGTAGCTGTTTAGTTTCTCCAATGTAGCGCTCACTGCAGTCTTCACTACACTGAATGGAGTAGACCACATTGCTTTGTTTGTGGCTCGGTGTTTTGTCCTTTGGGTTGGACCAGTTTCTGTCTTAGAGTGTCTATTTCGTAGGTTTTGAAATAGACCGGGATCATGTTGTCTGAAAATCCTCTGTAGTTTTTCCGAAACACCAGCCATGTAAGGAATAGTTACTCCCTTTCTCCTGGGCTCTGATTCTCTGTTGTCCTGTTTTTTAGCTCTCTTGATTTTGTTGAAGGCCCATTTTAATTGTACAGTATGCAACTTTCCAGAGGTGCCATGTCACCTGAATGATTCCATAGAAATAGAAAGTTAAAACCACGCTTCAGAACATTCTCCATGCAGCTAGATATGCTTAAAGCAATAGTGTGGAAGATTATAGGCAATAAGAGTCAGGTTTGTGGAGATGCAAGCCCACCAACAATATCGAAACATGTTTTTCAGTGCGATACACACAACCAAAATGAAAAAACACAGGCTTTTATTTATTTAGCAATGTTTTTGGCTAATAATCACATACCGTGGCTTTGATTTATTGCTTAATGTAGCAAGTTTTGCCCTCTGCATTTAACTTTCCTGCTTATTAAACTTAGAGCTTGTAGGCAAATCTGTCAGCATGTTATTCAAGAATATGTAGCTGGAAGATTACAGAGCTTTTAGTAGTCTACTGTTTTAGGTTGGTGTGGTAAAAAACAACAACAAACAAACATGTAAACATCACCCCGCTCCAGAACTCTACCTTGGTTCAAAATGTATAAAGACTGTAAATGTTTACTTTCACTCACCTCTTGCCCGCTTTCCCGTTGACTTTGAGAATCCAGGGTTGGTCTTCTACTTTAAACTCTTTGGTGACGATCCCAAACTTCTTCCTCCTCGCCTCCTCCCTTTGCTTTTTCCCAAACTCACTCCCGGCTGCTCCCTCGGCCGCCTCCTCCTCGCCGTAAATGCGCCGCGCACTCATGTCACGTTCCATACGAGCCTGGAAAGAAGATTGGAAAAATATGTAATCGCATTTTTTTCTGACAAATATTGAAAATGTATATATATTTTTTTTTATCTGAATTTTTTCAGAGTGCACAATTTAATGATAGCCAAGGAGCATTTGAGAGTAGAGTGAAATATGAACTGCTAAACTAATACAAGAATTACATGGATTTCAGAAAATTTGAGATCTAAAGGTATTTTTTTCACTGCAGAATACTATCAGAATGAATTGTGCCTTTGCCATGTTCAAATAACTATTTCGATTTGCTGTCAGATAATCTCCCAGCCCCACTGGTTTAAATTCAGGAATTAATATTTCAAGATATTTGTCAATGGGGTGCACCGAAATGAAAATTTGTGGCCGAAACTGAAACAAAATTCAACGCTTGGCCGAATACCGAAACCAATTATCAAATGTGGTTATGTTTTTAACAATTTTTTTTTAATATTGCATAAAAAGCCTAGAATACATTTTTATACATATTTTTAAAAGAAAGTAAATGTTTATTTAATATTCTTTAAATATTCCAGTAGCCTTTCAAGTAAGTATATCTTAAGTTTTTCATTCATATTAGGCCTTCAAAAAAAAACAACAATACCAAAAAAACTTAAGTGCATTAAAGTGGATAAACCCACAATAAATGAATTATTGTTTTGGAACAAGTCTGCTTAGCCACTGTAAATAGGTTAATAATGTAAACAGAAGGCTCAAGTCAATGTCAATAAGTGTTTGTTTGTAACATCATACACTAAAATATTTCCACACTGCTGATATTTTAAAGAAGGTGCCAGATCACCGAGTCACTGCATGTTGTTTGATTGCATCATTGTGTCACACGCCACTATTCTCTTACACCACTATTTGGCCGTACTTTTAACTCACTCATATATTCAGTTGCAGAATATTCGATGCATCCCTGTTTGTCAGTATAAAAACACCTGTAACTGAAAATATGAACACCTCCATGGAAACGAGCAGGTGGCAAAAACATTATACAATACAGGACTGCATTTATACCATACTCCCTACAACTGTACAACAAATCAACTTTATGGAACAGATAATACTCCCTACAACTGTACAACAAATCAACTTTATGTAACAGATAATACTCCCTACAACTGTACAACAAATCAACTTTATGGTAACAGATAATACTCCCTACAACTGTACAACAAATCAACTTTATGTAACAGATAATACTCCCTACAACTGTACAACAACTCACCCTTATGTAACAGATAATACTCCCTACAACTGTACAACAAATCAACTTTATGGAACAGATAATACTCCCTACAACTGTACAACAAATCAACTTTATGGAACAGATAATACTCCCTACAACTTTACAACAAATCAACTTTATGGAACAGATAATACTCCCTACAACTTTACAACAAATCAACTTTATGGAACAGATAATACTCCCTACAACTGTACAACAACTCACCCTTATGCGACAGATAAGCCTGTGTTTATGTCAATCATCATATCATCTTTGCACTGTTTTCCTTACAACCTCTTGTGCATAATTGTGATAAACTGTATTTATTTTACTATATTTCTGTTTTTTATTTACTTGTACAAACGCATTTATATAATTATGCTGACTGACACCAGTCGCTTGCTTTTTACTGCCACTGATTTAGAAGTTTTATTACATTTTTAAAATATATTTTTACACTTTGTTATTGTAATATATTGTGATATATGAGCTACTGTCTCCAAGTAATTTCCCTTGTGGATCAATAAAGTCTAAGTCTATAACTAAATAAATTACAAAAACCAACCTGTGTCCATGTCGAACAAGCCACTTTGTCTCCAGCATTGAACGCCATAATATTGTACTTTTTCGTGGTATTTCTGAAAATAAAAATCACATATTAAAAAATAATTAGGCAAAAATGACATTACACACTTCAGGGATAAAAATGTTTAAAAAATAAAGCAAGCTACTCACTTGGGCACTCGCACTATGTACTCTGTCCCGGAAGAGCTGCTGCTTGACTGTGAGAAACATTCAAATATTAAACCTTTGATTTATTTAGTCTGTATTCTTTCTTGTTAAGTAATTCTACACTTTGTTGTACAGTCTATTTCACATATATATTATTATATTGTCTAATATCTGGATCAGCCAAAGAATATTGAGGTACCGAGTTTTGCAAATCACTTTAATCTGTAGGTCGCTGTACTTACTAGAGATGTCATGGTTGGTTTTTGTAGGCTTAACTTCTCTTTGCCAGAATCTCATCCAAAAACAAATGACTGGAGAAGAAAAAAACACAAATTAGAAAGTACTAATTTATGTAGAATGTATGTAAACCAGGAATAATAACAGGACTAAACAATCCACGAGTTAATCATCAATCAATCAAACATTATTTCTACAGTACCTTCCAACAACCAAAGCCAACCAAAGTGCTGTACAACATTAAAACAAGATAAAATCAATAAACATCATACAAATAGGTCAACAAAGCAAAATAAATAAAGTGTCACAGGGCCACTAAATGTTAAAAGCCATTCTAAATAAGTAGGTTTTAAGTTTGGCTTTGAACAAAGGCAGGTCAGGGATGGACCGTAACTCAATGGGCAAAGAGTTCCAGAGTTTTGGACCGGCCACTGCAAAAGAACGATCACCCCACTGTTTGCACCGGGACAGGGGGAACCTCCAGCAGATCGTAGAGCTCTGCTGGGTTGGTGAGGGGTAATCGTGTAACCATCAGAACTGAACCTAGACTCAAATCAGAACTAAAACAAGACTAAAAAGTACGGAAACAAGTCAGAACTAGTATTAAACCAGGTCCAAACTGGTAGCTTCATGAACAGGACTGGATCAGGACCAAAACAGAATTAGAACTAAACCAAGACTAAACAGAATTGAACCAAGACTAATCCAGCACTAAACAAAGACTGAATCAGTACTAAACCAGAACTGTGCCTAAACTAAACCAGGTCTAGACTAGGACCTCACCAGGACCAACCAATAGACCCAGGATAAACCAGGATTCTACCAGGCACACTGCACAAATCCAACTAGAACCAAGAACCAGGTCTAAACAGGGACTAAACTAATACTAAACCAGGTCTAAAATAGGTCTAATCCGGGACTATTTTACACATCAGCATGACAGACATCGGTATTCTTTAAAACATTCTGGTAATGACTTGAATACAACGTTAAATCTTACGTAAAAATAAAATAAAACGCGTTTATTATACACATGCATTGTGCGCACCATGCATCTCCACAACATTAGCTTCAATACATAGCCGACTATTTAGCAATTAGCTTCTCAAACGTTTTCGGGGCATTTTGGGAGTATTCTACAACTTTTACCATTCCTCTGCACAAATATAGATAGTGCAAATTTAACACAATAAGCAGAAAATTGCGTTCTGTACTTTAAATGGTGCATTACCCGGAAAAATTTGTGAAATGTTTGCACCGGAAGCGTCTCTGTTCGAACTCTTCTTCAGCGCTGCGTAATGTTCCTCTCGGTGCTGCCCTCTGTGGCGCGATGGTGTCATAATATGCGGAGGTTTATTGCAACAAGCCAGTATTTTTGTTTCTTCACAGTAATCAGAGGTGGGTAGTTCTCTCTTACATTTACTTGAGTAAGTTTTTAAATAAATGGTGCTTTTCAGAGTTCTAGTGGTATACTTTTACACCTACGTGTGTAAAAGTACTCTTACTTGAGTAAAAGTTTTGATTACTCTTCCCACTGTAAGTCTACAAAAGACAAAAGCTTTATGTTGACAATATAAAATGACTTGAACATTTGTGTTTCTTGCATCACTCCTTCAGACTTGATTTAGTTCTCAAATTCCTTTGCAGTATTTTGCACTATTTTTAGGACTTGAGACTTGACTTGATACAACTGATTAAGACTTGGGACTCGACATAGACTTGAAGGTCAGTGACTTGGAACTTGTCCCGGACTTGAGGACTGTGACTTGAGAAGCACTTTTTAAATCTGAATTCTTTCTATTCTGACTGTAATGATTCACACTAAGATCTTGTCAAGACATTTAAAAAGGAAAAATGAACAGTTCTACAACTCTTATATACTCATATATAAATATACTATGACTTTTTAAAGTACAATTTATTTTAAAATTCATACATTTAAAAATATAACTTTGGTTTAAAGACTTGAAATGACTTGAAGCTCAAAGCAGATGACTTGGACTTGAATTATGAGCCAGTGACTTGAGACTCGATTTGGACTTGCCGGTATATGACTTGGGACTTGACTTGGACTTGAGGTCAAAGACTTGAGACTAACTTGAGACTTGCAAAACAACAACTTGGTCCCACCTCTGCTCAAAACAAATAAACTTCAAATCCTAAATCAGATGTTACTCTTTAAATTACTTTTATCTGCATAGTTGTTTTCCCAAATACTTTTAACTCTGTAATTTCTTGGACCACTACTTTGTACTTCTACTTGAGTTATATTATTTTGAAATAAGCTTATCCTTACTTGAGTCTACTCTACCTACTTGATAGTAATTAATTTTAGACATGTATTTGGCAAACATAAAATTGGGTAGCATGTCATTGTACATATATATATATTTTTAATATATTTTTTATATAATATGTTATAATATTTGTACTATTATTTATGGACATTCTGTTATAAGTTATACATGTAAAAGACAGAATGGCATTAGGTAAATATGATAATTTACCAAATGTTTTTACTTTTGATTGTGATTAAAATATGCCAATTTATAATTCAATTTTCAACTCTATAATGTTACGGGGGAAGCTTACAAAACCATTAATAATGAAAATAGTGCATTAGCTTGACTAATGTGCATTGTAACAGCCTTTATTACAATTAAATACAATACAATAAATACATTTGAATGGAAAGTTTTAGCTCAATAACTGGTTAAATATAAGTAAATCTAGTCAGTAGCCCTGAGATGACAGTACATATTTCCTTTGCATTTGAATAACTGCAAAACTCAAGGTACTATACATATGCCCGGATGTAAAGCTTCAGCAATATAAACAAATATAAACAAATGTACACAGAGGACTATGGTCACACTACAAAAACACTACAGGAGTTACAGCGTTCAGTGACACTACAGAGATGTATGCATTTATATCTAATCATATTGGGGTTCACAGGTTTGATTTCATTGAGTTTATATTTCTTCTGCTTCTTATTTGGTCTTGTCCATGTCTTCGGACACAGACGGCACATCTTTCTATAAGACAAAATAGGACAAAAATGTTTAGGTCGGGTACATACAACACAGTTAAGAGTCAAACATCAGAATCAACATTTCGTTCACTCACCACCTCATCGTCCACCTCTTTGTTCTTGAATGAGCAGGTCAGCCATTTGATGTACTCTTCCCGGATCTAAAATACAATTCACAATTATGAAAAATTAAATAAAGACAAGATTGCAAATATTTTTTTTTTTTGAGCTTTAGGACTGTTTTTACAATATTTCAACTTTTATATGGAGATAAAGTAAAGGCAGAATCTTAGGAAGGATAACGTGGGATTGTTTTTAATCACTGTAAATCACTTTGTGTTACATTTTTTTGTATGAAAAGTGAAAAATGATAAATAAATTTTGACTGGAACTGTTGAAAGTTGAATAAACTTCCTTATATATAAAATACATGGCTGATTATTAGTCAGTTCTGTTACTTATTTGTTACAGCTCAGGTCTTTTAATCATACGGTAGATTTAAAAATAGGTTTACCAGGATCATTCTGATTTTGTCAGTGGCATAAAATAGTTTCATTATGAGTTGATCTCAATATTTCTCTGTAACGATATATCGTATTTCAACGTTTGTTATTGTAACAGGCCTAGCAACATTTCAGGCAAAGCGATGACATCCATGAAGACAAACAGGAAGCTCTATACATTTTGCATACAAGCAACTCATCAATGATAAATTCAAACATTTTTTCCCCAGAGCGGGGCATTTTATCAGTATTATTTTATTGGTCTATTTGAGGTTAAAGTCTAAATAAGATGGACAAATCATTCTAATTGTTCTAGCTGTTCTAATTTTCAGAATTTTGAATTGGTTATTAGACATGTATGAATTCATAATGCACCTGAATGACTTAAATGAGCGAAAAGAAACAACAACAAATGAATCAGAAGAAGTATTAACTTCATAGAAATAAAAAGGTCAGATTCACCTGTAGTGTTCTTCAGATCAGATCAACACAGAGACCTACCTCTTTATTGAGCACACAATGGACTATGTAGAGGAAAGTCCCCTGCTGAGAGTTCAGGATGATGAACATAACTTGGAAGAAAAGGTTGGACTGGTACAGACCCAGGATCCAGGTGCAGCCCAGGATCACAAACTGAGCCACGATCTTGAACAACACTAATCTGCAAAGTCAAAGACATGTCAAGTTTTTTTTTTAAAGGACAACATTGTAAGTTTCTTTTGGTATCAATAATTTGAGTTGAGGATGTGAGTGAGTTACATTATTGTATTGTAGATTTTTTTCAAAGACATAATGTTGTTTCCTCCTCAAAAACATACCAGGAGTTGTGTTTTGTTTCCTTCACACATGTCTGAGTAACACTGCATTATTAGTCGTTCTACTACTCCAAAGTTCAAAATGCTCTGTTCCACCTTGTGATGTCGTGACATCCCACACACCATGGTTAAATCCTGATTAAATCCTGGTGCTGACCTGGTTTAGACATGGTTTTAGTCCTGATTTTAGTTTTGGTTTAGTCCTGGTTTAGGCCTAGTTTAGTCCTGATTTAGTCCTAGTTTAGTCCTGGTTTACTCCTGGTTTAGACCTGGTTTTAAACCTGGTTTTAGTCCTGATTTTAGTGCTGGTTTAGACCTGGTTTAGTCCTGGTTTTAGTTCTGGTCTAGTTCTGGATTAGAGGCGAGCCTGCATTGCGCACAGGAGGAGGTGCGGAGCAGAGAGAAATAAAGTGTAATATGGGCCCTTTATTATGGCAAGATTGTGACAATGATAACACACCACGTTTGTAGATTTTCAGTTTTGGATATTTCCTTCACAAACAACGGAATGCCCATAGTTATATTTGCCCCTGCCCTCTACCATCTGAAATTATTACACTATTGCTTTACCTTGCATCTTTGGAATCCGAGGCTCCACTCTTCATGTTGGCCAAGGTGGTTCTCAGGCTCCACAGTGTAGCACAGAACAATGTACAGTTAAGCTGAAAAAAGATATAATTATGAATAGCTGACCTGCAGAACCAGTGAAGGCATCTTCCTTTAAAGACAAGACCAAGGACGGTGCATTGGATATTATAATAACACTGTATGAGGACCAGTGTTAAAGGGCCTATTGGTGGATTTTAGATTCTAGTTTTTTAGTTTTTTTAGTTTAATGCATTTATTTTGGGCAAGTAAAGATCCACATCCATGTACAATGGAACACATGACACAAGTGAAATCACAACAGAAATGAAAATAACAACAACTACTAATAACTGTTATTATTACTATTTTGCCCAAAAAGGAGTGGGAGTAGAGATAATGTCATACTCCCAAATGGGGGGCAAGAGCAAGTTTTTCCTATTCACATGCGCTTGAGAGTTATGATCGGTTATGATTGGGTTTTTTGAGTATCCTGGTTATGTGAGTGTCCAAGTAGATGCAGTATTCTGATTTCAGTATCGTGAATATGCCAGTATCCTGCTTATGAGAAACCAATAAACTCTCACTGAGGTTTTCGGAGAGTATTCAGGATTCTGTGACATGTAGATGCAGTATCCTGATTTCTCAAAACTGGTGCTGTGCTGTAGTCAGGCTGGTGCCACCTAGTGCCTCCGCTCAATTTCATATCTCTCCAGCGACTAGGTCAGGAATCGGAATACACTAGACGGTTTGCCAGTCAGTGAAGAGCTGTGAAGCCATGACGTCAAACTCAAGTGTCTGTCTGGGTCCCTTTTGTGGTACAGCACAAGACGAAGACAGACATTCTGTGTTGGCAACGATTCCCGAGATCGAGGAGGAGATCGGAACAAAGAATGTTTGGTGAATTTTATCAAGGGGAAAGATGTTGTTGCCCTTTTTCCTACGCGATTTGACGCATTACGTATGTCACAACCAAATAGCAGCGATTGATTAAATTAAAAAAGTACCCACCTACTGTCGAGCGAATGGATCCTAATTTCCACGAAGTGAAACTGGCTGATGAATGAGTCTAGTGATGTTGTATCATTATCAAAAATCAGCGTAGGAGACTCGGCAAACTTTCTTCATTTAATTATTTCACTTATGAGCAGATACAAGTGAAAGGGCTGCCGATCCTGACAGCAAGTACAAAGTCGTTTCAAAGCCTCCCAGAGATGATCTACTTTGTATCATATTTTAGTGGCAAAATATTTGGAGAAGTGAGCGTGGCAGAATAAAGTCAATAGTACTAAAGGAAACTCCAAGGTTATCAAGTACTTTGTTTAGTTTAAGTTATAGGTGTAACTTTTCTGGCATCAGTAAATGTTCGAAGTCCTCAGTGCTCCACAGTATGGCATTAATCTTACTTATGTACATAGAGACAAACTAATGATATCACCAGGAGGACTCACAGGTCAGTTCTGTGGAAAGGCGACCCCACTCAGACTAAAAAAGCATGTTTTTCAGAGTACATGTGAGCAATAATGCCTATTATTGAACACGTTTAATGCCATACATGGAATATTTCAAATAAAAATATATTGACACAAGCAGACAAATTACGTACTGCATCTTTAACTGAACCTTTACATTTTATCTTGGCACAACTTGAAAATACTGAATCAAATTTGGAATTATTTTTGCCCCCGTACAATGTCATTTTGTAGATTTTCAATCACTTACCGCAAGTATAGCAATCACAGGTCCTGTCAGAGCCCAGTTGAAGTTCCTAGTCCTTGACAACCAGCACCTACAACCAAGTAAAACACAGCAACAATAAATTATAGTGCAAAATACAAATACAATAAATAAAAGCATATACAACCTAACCAGTCACTGCAGTGGTGGATGAAATACTACATTTATCTTAAGTATAAGTACAGAAACTAAAGCAAAAAATAAATGAATACAGAATAAAAGCATTACATGAAAAAAATGTACTTAAGTAAAATGATTAAAGTACATGTCCAAGTACCTAAAATGTACTTAAAGAGTAGTATTTCATGTAGAATTTGAGATCTAATAAAGCTTCAAATGTTTTGCTGAATTTCGTTCAACAGAAATGATTTTTTTGTTCTTAAATTTTTGTTCAAATTATGAAAAATAAACCCTCAACCTTTTCAGCAGGTCTCAAACAATCATCAAAAATATGTTTATTTTTTTTAGTCCCGTTCAAAAAAACTAGTGGAGTAGAAAGAGGGTGACCAGATGTCCCTATTTACCCGGGACAGTCCCAGTTTTGAGCTCTGTCCCAGCAGATTTATCCAAAACCCTTCATTTTTCCTAGTTTTTGACAAAATTTGATGCTTGCCAACAGTAAAAAGAGGCATAAATTGTCATTTTTTAAAGTAAAATACAGGAAAAGTATACTTAAAAATGACCAAAACACAAATGTGACTATACTGACACATGTTAGTCATAAATGGGCCGAATGCAAAACAGTTCTCCTTAATTATGCACTGATTTCACAATTTAATTATTACCAACCACCTCAAACCAGGGATGTCCTAGTTTTTGATTTGGAAATCTATAGTCACCCTAAGTAGAAAATACAGATACATGTTCTTAGATCTAATGAGGTAGTGAAGTGAAGGTACCAGATATGTAAAAAAAACTTCATTATATTCCACAACGGCAATACGGTTATACTTACGCGCCTTCAGTCGCCCCATATCCGTCGGAATACACCAGCGCAGAAACCCCCACCACGACCAGAGGCACCCCGTAACCCACGATGTACAGCACGGGTTTGGGGAGGCCGTCTCTCTTGATGACCTGAACTTTGGTTAGTTTCCGCACTAACATGAAGAGCTGCGTCGCCTCCAGCAGCATCCACACGAAACTGGCCACTACGAGGAAGTGGAGGAGGCCGGCCATAACCGTGCAGGCCAACTGTGGAGGAATAAATTAAAAAAAACATAAAAACAGTGGCTTAGGGTTGATGAGGTGTAAAGTGAACGCAATCTGAGCATTAAAGGTCCTATATTACACAAAACTGACTCCTTTTTGAGCTTTTAGCCAAGTTAGAATGCTGTTTCCTCATCACAAACAGACCTGGAGTTGTGTTTTGTTTCTTTCTCAAAGCTTTTGTTTCACTATCCAAATCTCAAAATGCCCTGTTCAACCTTGTGATGTCATATAGCTGTAGTTTTCATGTTAACAACTACATTTTACATTTTGTTTTGTAGATATTGGCAATTACAGAGTTACTGAAATTATCCAAATGATTCTAGTGAAGGTGTATGGAGTTTAAAAACACAGTAGAGCTCTTCCTGTATTAGTTTGAGAGAAGAACTCAGCTTACAGCAGGGGTGGGCAATTATTTTATCCATAGAGCCACACGAGAAACAGAAAATATTGTGGAACTCCAAAATGCTTTACTAAATTTTGCATAATATTAATTGTATTTCTTTATAAAAAAAGCAGTAAATATCATTGTTTTGACGAGCTGGTACGACTGGTAAGAGTTTATGTCATGACTAAGCAATGAAAAAGTGATTTTGTTTGTGGGTTTATGTGGTTTTACTTTGGGCACTTGTGATTTAGTTTTGTTGTGTGTCTCTTAGTTTAATCACTCGTTTTTATACAGACTTGCGTGGCACGTTTTTTGGCGCAAAACTTGTTATATGTTAATCCTGTTATTTCTTGTTGTTTCTCAATTTGGATTATTTTCTGTACATATTTTAGCATGTTTTATTAATTTACCCTTTTATATTCCTGTTAATTAAACATTACTTAATTTATTCCATTCTCCACCTTGGATTTTTTTTATTACATTTCCAACCCTAGCGAGCTGGGTCGTTACAACTTACAAAAAATGTCACCTAAAAAAAACTCCTCTAACATTGTCTAAAAAAACACCTCTAACTTATCTAATTTTAGACAAGTAAGATCTTTTATGACTCTATATGCAGCACGAATGTTTTTACGCTCCATGATTCTGTCTCATATAGAGTATTACAGAACCACATCATCACTCGCTGTTGGCACAAAACTCAAACCCATCGAATCACCATAAAAATATTGGACAAGAAACCATTCTCATTTCACCACTGCACTATTTTATATTAAGTACAATCTGCTTAATTTTTATAATTTTGTTGATTTTAAATTTGGATGTTTTATCTATAAAGTTTTGCATGGACTTGCCCCTCCTCCGTTACAGGATTTTATTAAAGTAAAGACAGTGAGTGGGATGGGAACTACAGTAGGGCCACAGCCCGGGGGAACTGTGAGCTCCCACACAGACGCACCACATTCGGACAATGTGTTCTCTCAGTCAGAGGCACAACATTTTGGAACAGTCTGCTACCAGTAAAAGAAACTCCAACACTTGCCACTTTCATGTCCTACTTGAAACAGTGGCTAAAGGAAAACCAGACTTGTGGACACTTTTAATGTATAACTGTCACTTGTTTTTGTTTTTTTCTGTTAAATTTGTGGTGTTACCTGCCGAGGGACTACAGATGGAAATGAGCATTCTTGCTATAATCTGGCATATTTACACTGCAGTGTTGTAGATGCTCATTAAAATGCACTGTCCCTATTGAATAAATAAATAAATAAATACATAAATAAACAAACATAAAAGCAATTCAGCCAAATTAGCCTGAACGGACCTGTCAGAGTCAACTAAAAGGCCGTATGTTGCCCGGGAGCTGGACAATGCCCAGGTCTGGTCTACTGGGTTTGTGTTTTAAAAATGTATGAATGAAACAAAACACAACCCCAAATGTGTTTGTGATGAGGAAAGAACATTAAAACAGATCAGAAAATAGAGTAATATGGGCGATTCAAAGTGATCGGATTACGTTTTTTGGCCATGGGGAAAAGAAAAACAATGTTATCCGATAATAATTAAAGAACATGCCCTCATACAGTATTAACATAAGCATACAGTATTAATGAATGCGATTTGACATCCGAAATGCTTGGAACAACTCTGGCGGTCTGGTAAAACTGACCCTGGTTTCTACCTATGAGGCAACAATCCTAGGAAATTTCAAATCTAGTTTTTTTTGTGGTGGCTCAGGGCAGAAAGGACATTATACCACCACTTTTTTTTTATCAGAATATCGGTCCTTGAAGTGTTTTGGGTGTGTGAAAATGCTGCAAGCTCATAATGCATATTGTCATTGTGTCCTTGGGCAAGACACTTAACCTTAACTAACACAGTAGCTGAAGTAGAAACAGTGATTATTATAGTTATTTGTTCTCCCTCTCCTGAAAATGCTCCTTCATGGTTTTTAAAGTTCATACACCGTCACCAAATTTAGCTTTGTACCTCATCGTCTAGATAGCGGTCGTTCCAGAGCAGGAGCAGATGGGACAGGCCCAGATTGAGACACAGGTGGAGGCGAGCGGTGTTGTTGATTTTGGGATTCCAGCTGCACAAGAGGAAGGTGAGAACGGCCAGAGCGAAGAAGAAGAGTCCGATGATGACGCAGATCCGGTTGAGCCAGTCCAGGAAGTCGTTCTGAGGAGGAGGCTGGGGAATAATACGGAGAAGACACGTTGGATTTCAGGTTCATGTTTCAAACTCAGAAATAAGAAGAGCTCCGAGCCAACTTGAGTTGTAAGAGCACCAATTGGTATGGCGTTTTATATGTATACAGTTATATCACTAAATGCTAGGAGTGTAACGGTACACAACAATCACAGTTCGGTATGTACCTTGGCTTTGAGGTCACGGTTCAGTTCATTTTCAATACAGTATGGAAACAAAATGCAAAACACTTGTTGTTTATTTGTGTGTTTATTAAACCAAAAATTTGTTTTAACATTATACAAAAGAGAAAATAAAATAAATGCAAAGTGTTGCTTGGTAATACTAATAAGTTAAATAAAATATTCTCAAATAAGCAACAAATGTATGAAATATTATAAAAAATAAATTGCTTGTAAACAGTAAACAAAACTTTTCAAAAAGTAAAGAGCAGTACTAACGGTTCCAGCGTGAAGTTTTACTCAATCTTCATATTTTTGGTCAGAAAAAACAACTCGTCCACATCGTCTACAGTGAGCGCAGGTCTGCAGCCAGTTACTTTGTCCCTTTTGGCTGAAAATAAACTTTTGCTAGGGACAGAGTATGGAGGGGGAAGCGTGGGTGGAGATTCCATACCAGCCGAAAGACGAAAGTGAGGACCGGGACACAATGACCGTAGTTTTGTGAGGATTCATGTGGTTCGGAGGAATGTAGTCAAGGCGGGGGGCAATTGTTGTCAAGGCAGCTGCCCTAACTATAAAGCGCTGCGGGAAACACTGCCTTCCCAATCACGTTAAGAGTTCCCTCGTGAATATTAAAGAGCCGAGCCTTCCGTGTATCTGCACATGTAGTGGCGGAATGTAAACACATGCAATTTGCGTGAACTCACTCGTCCTCAGCCCTGCACCGACCCTAATGTGGCATACTGAAATGGTTGGGCATGAATACGTGTACCGTTACACCCCTACTAAATGCAGTGCTTGACGCTCTAAATATAATTCAGTTGTTTTTCTATGACAATGACAATAAAATCTTGAATCTTGACACAAAAAAAATACTATTTTTTTAACAAACTTAACAAATCAATACCAAAGTGTCGATATTTTGATACTTACATGGTCTTGAATACTTAAAGCTCCTCAAATCATTTTTTTTGTATATTTTAGATATTTGCCGTAGTCAGTGTTGGGGAGTAACGGATTACATGTACCAGAGTTACGTAATCAGAGTACAAATTATTAATAACTGTATTCAGTTACAGTTACTGTTTAAGTGAGTGAATTAGATTACAGTTACTTTGTTGAAATAAATGGATTACAATGTGGTATTTTCCTGTTTTCACATTTTGGGCTATATCCCTTTTTTTAATTTATTTTTTATTTTATTTTAGTAATTCCACTCATTGCCGGACACTAAACCAGGTCCAAACCAGGTCTAAACCAGGTCTAAACCAGGTCTAAACCAGGTCTAAAACCAGGTCTAAACTAGGTCTAAACTAGGTCCAAACCAGGACTAAAACCAGGTCTAAACTGGGTCCAAACCAGGTCTAAACCAGATCTAAACCAGATCTAAACCAGGACTAAACCAGGACTAAACCAGGACTAAACCAGGTCTAAACCATGTCTCAAACACTATTTAACAGGACCGTGTGGACCGTGCCTCCTCCTCCCCTATCAATACTATTTTTTAATTTGGTTAAGTAAAAACTGGGCTTTTTATTGTCTTTTAGCAGACAAAACATCTTATGTTATGATTTCCTAGTCTTTGCTTCTCTACAGCAAACGATGTAATCCAAAGTATTCAGATTACGTTACTCACTTTAAGTAATTTAATGGATTCCATTACAAACTACATTTTGGGGCATGTAATCTGTAATCTGTAGGGGAATACATTTTAAAAGTAACCTTCCCAACACTAGCCGTTGTATTGTATTAAAACAAAGATTTATATTATATTTCCTTATCATATTTTCTTAACTGAGTTCATTTCAGATCATATAATTTGGAGCAAAGAATCAAAAATCTAACCCGGCCCCAAAATATCTGCAAAGCTAATTGAACATTGGCTGTTCTGGATTCTTAATCATCGGTATTGACCATGAAATAAAATTATGTCAGTCCTATTTACTAACAATGCAATAAAGTCCTTACATCTGCAATCTGTAGAATCAAGGCGAACGTGGAGAGATGAGTACAGCTGCACACGGTGTAGTTCTCATTGGTGAAGGTCATGGTGCAGCCCTCTGTAGACCAGCCCATGGAGGTGACCAGGCCCGCATCGTCCTTCTCCACTTTCCAGTACACACAGGTTATCATGCCGGCTTCATTCTCCGACTAGAAAAAAAAGTGAATGAAATAGTCAATACATACATGCCTCCGATCCGCTTATCAGTTTTTGCCACTTGCCCCCATGTTTGTTATATTGTGTAATAGCCTGGGTAGCAACCTTACAGGAACAGAGTCGAGTTGAGACAATTTAAGTGCAAACCCAAAGTGCATTTATTCCATGACCAAGAAGAAAATCGAAAAAAATATTTATGAAGTTAAAAACAGGCATTGCATAAACCTGCGCACAAAGACAGCACCTTCTTCTCCACAAAAGTGAGGCTGGCTCCTTTTATAGACCACCTCTTTTAATTAAAATAAGTTTAGATAATTTCCCTTCAATATTTAAAAAGTTAATCATATCAAAACAGTGTCCTAAATATTCAATTAAATCTAAATACAAAAATATGTCTTTATTCAGGGTAGCTGCAGGGTCTTAAAAGTCTTGAAAAGGTCTTAAATTTCATGTTCCTAAATTAAGGCCTTAAAAAGTCTTAAATTATGTTGTCCAAGTCTTATTTTTTTCACAGATGTCTTAAATTTCATTAGCCTTTTTTTCTTTTCTTTTTTTAATTGGATGGGAGGAAAAAAAACAACAATGTGAAATTTAGAATGTCATAAATGTTTTTTTTTGGCCATTTTACAAGCAATGCATACAACTATAAATGAGTTCTGAATGAGATTTTATAATAAAAGTATTTTTTTGTTATTTAAAGTAGTGAGTAATGGTCATTATTAGAATTGGATCTTGTGTTTTTCGCCCACATAATGGGTGCGATGTTGGTCTTAATTTTCATTTAAGTGGTCTTAAAAAGGTCTTTAAAAAGTCTTAAATTTGGGGTAGTCAAACCTGGGGATACCCTGTTAATAAATTAGCAGTGTTTTATTATTAATTTTAAAATATAAGTAGAAAAGTTAAAATCTCTGTGCTCCCTTCCTCCTAACAAAATGGTTGCCTGCCCAGGAACCTTCTTAAGGTGCTCCGGCTGCCTGGGGACTCTTTTGGCCGGAACACCAAGAAGACAACACAAGAAGGTATGTAGTATTAATTTCAATCACAATTACTTAAATTAAATGCAGTTATTTCATTTACTTAGGTCACTTTATTGCAATGCAGCTTCAATCAATTATCAGTAAACATTTTAAAACTTTGCTTGTTTGTTTCTGTCCTTATCTCACCTGTCAGCCTATCCAGCCTAGGTACATTACACGTTTCTAACATAAACAAATGTAAGACACATAGCCAAATTAACAGTATTATTTTGAGCTCCTAGATAAAAGGCACCTGATAGTACATGAAAAACAGAACTAGTTCATTTAAACAGTTTGCAGCAATCCAAATTAGGGATGGGCATTCGGTGAAATTTTCTTAATCGATCGTCGGAAGAATTAACGATCGATGTTTTTATATTAAAATGATCATTATTATTACTATCTGCACTACTAATCTGCATAAATAAATTCAACTTTACGACATATAAACCGTAACCACTCTAGAGCCACATCAGCCCGTTTGACATTATAATGTGTTTAATTCAGTTTTGCGCAACTCTCACAGAAACGAAACTTAAAACCGCATCGCTAATTTGCATAAACTAAGCGAAGATAAAACTACAGCTCTTTTGTCGCTGATGCGGTTCAACTTCTGTCGGATTAAAAGACATGACTCAGTGGAATACAGGTTAGTGTGACCATATTTGCGTTTGTCAAAACCAGGACACCGTACGGGGGGAGGGAGGTGGGGACTCGTCATCGACATTGCGCGACTCTCACCTGGCAAAACTTTTTCCCACTGGACACCGAAACATATGTGCTGCTTTATACACTGTGCACATGGACTCACACTTGTCCCGAACGGAAAACGTGGACTTTCTTGTACAAGTCGTCGTTGCACATTGTTCGCATTTGCACTTCAGTACGCTGCAGGTGGACCAACTGTTTGTCTCCTTCTGAGTGCAGAGAGCTACATGTACGGACCCCTGTTTGGTCACGCTACGCACAGCAACCTACATTCGGTTTGTCGATTAAAATGAACGTAATCGATGAAATTCTTAATGATCAATTATCGATTAATCGACTAATCATGCCCATCCCTAATCCAAATGTTTTGCTAATTTATCAAATGTATTTCAAGCATTCAAATAATTCACCAAGATAAGTTCATGAGGAGAGCTGGGTACTGTTTTTTTTTTTTTTTACAATACTAGTATTTTAACAATACCTACTTTTCGATACCGTTTCCTGAATGGGTCTTTTTTCGGTGGCTGCATTTTTAACATGTAAATTATTGGTCGGTTTTATTAAGAAAAGGTCTTCATTTTAACGGGTTTGACGATCTACACCGGCAGTGTCATACGTGTATCCGACGGTCGTCATTACGCTAGAGTCCTGCACGGGTCAATTTTCAGAGACCCATTCCCGCCCGCGCACATGCAGTACAGCACCGCACCCGCCCGTTAAGCCGTGATTATATCAAAGTTAAACCTGCACACGCCCGGACCCGTTAACATTCACACGTAAATCGCACACAAATTAAAATCATTCTAGCTGAAGAATCCATCAGAATACGGATTGAAAAGTTACGACTTCAAGAATCACAATCACGAAATGAAACGAAACGGTTACGCTTTCTTCAGTACGAATACGAATTCATAGACGTGACTCGACTGTCATCACTTCACAGGCTTTATTTACTGAGTAGAAGAAACATTGATCGAGACGCTGGACTTTTGCGGGACATGCCACAGACTGCCACGAAATTGAACCAGGACTGAACCAGGACTGAACCAGGACTGAACCAAGACTGAACCAGGACTAAAACAGGACTAAACCAGGACTGAACCAAGACTAAAACAGAACTGAACCAGGACTAAAACAGGACTAAACCAGAACTGAACCAGGACTGAACCAAGACTAAAACAGAACTGAACCAGGACTAAAACAGGACTAAAACCAGAACTGAACCAGGACTAAACAGGACTGAACCAGGACTGAACCAGGACTGAACCAGGACTGAACCAGGACTGAACGAGGACTGAACCAGGACTAAAACAGGACTGAACCAGTACTGAACCCGGACTGAACCCGGACTGAACCCGGACTGAACCAGGACTAAAACAGAATTAAAACAGAACTAAAACAGGACTAGACCAGAACTGAACCAGGACTAAAACAGAACTGAACCAGGACTAAAACAGGACTAAAACAGAATTAAAACAGAACTAAACCAGGACTGAACCAGGCCTGAACCAGGACTCAACCAGGACTAAAACGGGACTAAACCAGACCTGAACCAGGACTAAAACAGGACTAAAACAGGACTGAACCAGGACTAAAATAGGACTAAAAAAGAACTGAACCAGGACTAAAACAGAACTGAACCAGGACTAAAACAGGACTAAAACAGAACTGAACCAGGACTAAAACAGGACTAAAAGAGGACTGAACCAGGATGAGTAAACCAGGACTGAACCAGGACTGAACCAGGACTGAACCAGGACTGAACCAGGACTGAACCAGGGCTGAACCAGGACTGAACCAGGACTAAAACAGGACTAAAACAGGACTAAACCAGAACTGAACCAGCATTGAACCAGGGCTTTGCAAACACCCTGCTCTGTGGGCTCGGGGTTCTCTCTCTCTCTTAAGTCCAAGATTAGTCCTGGTGTAATCCTGGTTTAGTCCTGATTTAGTCCTGACCCTCCTGTGTGTAGTTACTACCCGCCTGCATACTCGCCCATAAAATTCCAGAACGTTTCAGCAACCATTTGCCCGAACCCGTTGCGTCCGGTACGGGAAAATGGACTCTGCATTACACTACACGCTACTGAAAATTACAGTAGAATAGAGTTCTAATTTTTCAGCATCAACAGAGCGTCTCCAGGCTTTTTATCAGTTGGAAAGTTTACAGCCATGGAGGATAAATATAAAACACGAAATCAGACAGCAACTTTACAAGAACAACTTCTGAAGAAAAAGATGTGCGGTGCAGACAACTGGAGTTAAATGATGAGTGGCTTAATTGATGTGAGCGCCGCAGATACGTCTCATTATCGCTGCAAAGCATCATCTCTCTTGTTGTCAGCTTTTATATTGTGATTTAAAACACATAATTCATCCAACCAACAATGAATACTTAAGCGATGTAAAAAGTTTTGTGTTTAAATGTGAGAATATACAGAGGCTGGTGTCACTCTGCTGCCTCTGGTGTAAATTGTAAAAGTACATGCATATGCAGATTTTCCTACACTGCTTGCTGATGTCTTGTGCTGGATGGTGAAGTTGACAGGATCTGTGATGTTGGTGTTGTTCATGGTGGGGAGTACAGCACTGATCACATCTGAGAACATCTGGGTGCGGTTTTCTGTTTTCAGGTACTGGTGACTGAGCAGGCTCTCCATGCCATTCAGAGTGAAGAAAGCAGCCGCAGCGGAACCTGGAAAAGCCATGATAGTAGGTAAGGCCGTCCATCCAAGTGTGTTTGGGTTCAAGTCTAGTCAAAGGCCCTATTGTTATTTCACACACAAACTCTGCATATTTAGGCCCAATTCCTCTCTCAATCAGAAAATACTGTTCTATTACAGAATTTGTCCTTCTTTAACATTATCAGTTTCCTTGGTCAACTTATCAGTAGCAGTATGCTATGCTCTTCTCATTTCATCTCAGCCAGCTTGTCTCCAAGCTGTCATTCTTAGTTGCAGTGTTGAGTATTCAAGTCCTTAGGTCTTGGACTGAGGGCAAATAAACTTCTCCTGTCTCAGACATCCAGAGCCTTTGCATTCTCTAACACAGAAACATGCATTGCATGATCATTACTGACTAAACAGTTGATGGCAGCTGGAGTGGAGATGGCACGGGCTTAGAATCTGCTTAGAGTGGGGCTAGGCTTACAAACGGTAACATTTAGTTGCTTATGCTGTGAAAATAGAGGAGATTCTCTGATCTTTGTGAAAGCTGTAGGTCCCTGTAAGCCGAACACATCCAGTTTTAAGTCACAAAAAATACATTACCCATTCACTGATCTGTCTAATCACTCCTCTGGCAAAACATTGGACTGCAGTCTGCTGAAGTTATGTTTTACTACAGCTTTGCTCACTTAGAAGCAGGTTCTAAAAAGTCCAGACTCAAACTAAGATGTAAGAATGCAGGGTTAATTCTGAGGATGTCTGAGTGACAGTGTCTAATGTCTAATTATATTTATCCATTTTATTTTATGATAAAATGGATATCAAAGTCTTATTTGGCCAGTGGAATTTATCACACAACACATTCCTCTAAAGTCTGACCTCTGCTCAGAAGATTGGCTGTAGACTTTGTGATTAAAAACCCCAAGCCGGACAATGCATAATTTGAAAGGATTGTATCTCAACTTGAATAATATTTTATTAATTGCACAACTTTACTTACCATTATCACGAAACTGAATAAAAACAACTGGACCTACTAAGCTTTTGCAGCTGCTAACCAAGTAGCTTCTTCACAAAGCCCAGAAGAAGCTACTTGGTTAGAAGCGAAAACTTACTTACCGTTGTTATTTTCAGCCAGTTCATCCATGTTGATTTCCATGCTGTTCCCATTGGCTCCGAGGGGTGGCATTTTCATGTTGTTCCCCCGTATCCGTAAGTTTCGAGACTTAAATCTACGAAGGACATTACGATCACTTTAGATATATTTAAAGCTGCACTATGTAACTTTTCAAATGGGAGTCAGTCACCTGCTTTTTTATATGGAGATGTCATTGCTCTGCCTGGAATGTTCCACAGTATGACATTAAACATCTCTACCTTACATTTATTCAACTACAAGTGGTTTTATCTCTCAAAAATACCTAGAAAAACAAAAAAACAGGCATTCTGACTGTGAGCGGGGTTGCCTCTCCACAGATCTAACCTGTAACTTCATCTGGTTTGGTTTAAATGAAGATAGAAAGGTTTAATGCCACACTGTGAAACATTCCAGCAATTTGAAGGACTCTCCACCAGAAAAATTACACAGTGCATCTTTAACAAACAGTGACAAGACGATGTTTCTTACCCACTGCTGAATTCTTGACGTTAAGACTGGTCTGGTTAAAATCTTCCTGCACCAACGTGGCCACCAAGCGATCGGAAAGGTCCAGGATGACGCTGCCCACTTCACCGTTTCCGGAACTACTCACCCGGCTACTCCTGGCACGTGGTCCCACCCCGGCCACTTCCTACACGGGTAAACATTGCAGCACGGACAAGCGTTTTCAGTCATTGTTATATGTTACTAACTATGGGGTATTTGCTATTAACACATAACACATTCACCATGCTACCTTTTATTGTTTTGAAAATGCTATATTTGCTGAAAACGTATTATCATGAACTAACTACATTGAAACCGCAGTGGCTGTTTTGTTGCTTCAACAGAGACTCAGAACCTAGGAGAAAGGGTGTAACTATTCCTTGCATGGTCGGTGTTTCTAAAAAAAAAAAAACTATAGAGGATTTTCAGACAACATGAAATCCCAGTCTATTTCAAACCTACAAACAAAGGTTAAGATAGAAACTGGTCCACCCAAAGGACAAAACACTGAGTCACAAACAAGGAAATGTGGTCTACTCCATTCAGTGCAGTGAAGACTGCAGTGAGCGCTACACTGGAGAAACTAAACAGGTACTTCATAAGATGCACCAACACAGATGAGAGAGCAACACAGGACCTCAGTCTGCTGTACATCTCCACCTAAAAGCCAAGAGCCACTTTTTTGAGGACAGTGAGGGACAGATCTGAGCCAGAGAAAGAACTGGTTTTAGAGGGGAGCTAAAGAAGCTTTTTGTTAGAAGAGACAATCCATCTTTGAACAGAAATGGAGGACTTAGACATCATCTATCTCCTATTTACAACTCCATCCTCAAACCTAAACTAAAACAAAAAAAACAATGTGATAGCCGGGTCAGGTCCAGATGTGTGAACGCACCCATCATTGGCCTGAATGATTATGCCAATATGACTCAGGCACACTCTCCACTTAGTGGGGACTTACTTCAATAGACTTAGCTAACAAACAGTAACTGTAAACAAGTAGGTGTGTTAGTTTCACAGTGGTTTCAATGCAGTTAGCTTAGTTTAGGTAGATATAAGGCAGTGGCCACCAGCGTCTGACCAGAACTGAAGGAGCAGCTTGGATGAGCTGCGAAACATATTCGATCAAAAAAACTTTTGTGGATTTATCATATGCAAAATATAAAATTATGATCCAACTATAGTAATAAATATAGATGTTAATATATTATCTTTTAATCACATCATGGGCAGCTACATTTGAGCTAGAACCAAAAAACTGCAGGCATTTTATGATGATAATTTAATGTATAATTATTACCATACTTGCTGAAAAACTGTTGGCAATGGTCTGTGGGAAGAACAGAAACAAGCAAATATAACCATCAATTCCATTTTGAAAACACTGGATAAATATTAAGTGTGTGCCAAACTTACCGGTGCTGGTATTTCGGTGAGGTTATTCAGTTGTAGCTCAATTTTATCAAAGAAGACACTCTCTTTAGTTTTTCCCTGTAAACAAAGTCATTTGTGATTGACTGGTCATCTGGACACCGCTTTTGTATTCAAGATGTGGGACTGGAACAGTATCCCATGATTGACAGGTGGAATTCACCAATCAGAGACTCAGGGCACACATACTGAATCTGCATTTTCATCATTTTTCATCCCCTGGAAGCCTTGTCTCTACACCTCCCAGATGCTCAATCCACACCCCACCACAGACCACTCAAGGCTGAATTATAGTTCTGCGTCGACGCAGCGCACACTGCCGCCGTCACCGTCGTTTTTGATTTATGGATCTGCTTTGAGATCTATGTGGCGTGAAGTAATTCAGCTCCACACCGCTGGGGGGCTACGATTTTAAAATGGCATCCGTGTATACAAAATGAAGCGGGAAAGCGGATTACTGGAAATGTATGTAGAGCGGATGTAAAGAGGATCAGTCACAGCCCTTATTGTCTGTGTCGCTTTCCCGTGCTGTCTGCCTCCGTTCGTTACAAAATTTCTGAAGCGCACGTCTGCGGAGGGGGTTCAAGTCAAATTGTCTGCGGCACAATTTGACGCGCTGGGCTTCAGACGGTCATTCATTAGTCCATCAATTCTGCTCCCGCACCTACCCCCACGCCCACGGAGAAGCCCAGCCCAGTATCTTTGTCACCTGCCCAGGTAAGAAGGCAGCTGGAGAAAGTTCACCTAAACAAGACCAGGCCAAGTCAACCCCTGTGTGCTGAGGACATGTGCTGTACAACTCACAGAAATCCTGCACTTTCTCTTCAAACTGAGTCTGAAGCTTGAAAGGACACTGAGCTATGGGAGACCTGCTGCATTGTACCAGTGCACTCATTCTCCAACAGGCTCCAACAACTCCGCTCAAACAGTGAAAGATACAGGACTACATTCATAACATACTCCATACAACTGTACAACAACTCACCCTTATGTAACAGATAATACTCCCTACAACTGTAAAAATAACTCACACTTGTAACAGATAACCATATGTCCTGTCAGACATCAAATCATTTTTGCACTGTTTTTCTTATGACCTCTTGCACCTAAACAGGACTTCATGGTTATGTGAAAAATAACAATAATGGAAAAATAGTGTTACCGCTGCTGGTGTTATCTGGGTTAGCATAACTTGAACATCTGTCAGAGAAGAACAATACTGTTAATCCAGCTGTATTGCACGTTGACGGCAGTGGAAAGAGGAAAGAGCAAACTTACTTTCACAGAAGGTGATCCCTACTGTCCAGTACAAGCCCGTGTTAGGATAGAACCCCTCTGGACAGGAACAGTAGAACGTGCCGGGGTAATTTGTGCAAATAGTTTGGACACCACAGATACCAGGTGTTTCCAAGCACTCGTCAATATCTGTAGAGTCAAAAAATGTTGTCAGTAATGAAATACAGAGTTGTTGTACACTAAAACTACGTTCAGCCCTACGCATCAAAGCACCCAGGTTACATGCAAAGTCTATGTGGACGCGCATCTAGGGCATCCTCAGGCGTCAGCGCGGCAAGAATCTGGCACTGAAGCAGCACTTTTTGAGCACTGAGGTGTCTGGCGCCATGTCATCACTGGAGGACAAGTATAATATGCTTCAGCCACTGATTCAATCACTTCTCTTGATGGGTTTTATGTAATACAAACACTCAAGCCACTTTCTCGACTGGGAAAACGAGACACTCGCAGACCACAGAGGATGCCCCAGCCGTGCGTCAAGAATTTTTCTCTCATTCCTCCGTGATGTTCAAGACGTGCAAAGGGGCATCTGAATTCAAAATGCTCCAACAATTCAAAAGGCGTCCAGCTAGTTTTTCGACACCGCGACATGTGGTTATGAATGTATGTGTTTAGTCCCATGAAAGAAAATATATTATAAGAAATCATCAGTAATACAGAAATTACTAAATACATTAAAAACTGCAACAATACTTTAGTCTACTTTAGCGCTTTCCCACACATTCAAAGTTGTGTTTGGTGCATTCATCCATTTTGGTGTTTGTAAAACGTATGGACTGTTAGAGCTGGGATTTAACCAGGAGCTGGCATTGAACCGACAACCTTTGAGTATCTGGGGTAACTCTGTATCATGTAAGAAGTATAACCGATTAAGTGAATAAATATAGGGTAGAGCGAGTATGCATTTACCCAGGCAGGGATTGGTGCGGCTGGCGATCTTGCTTGGGTCGCCGAGGCGATAGCCATTGTAACAGGTGCAGTAATAGGAGCCAATGGTGTTGGTGCAGTTGCAGCTGGGCCCGCAGATGGTCTCCAAACGTTTTTTGATTGGATCCACCACTGTGGAAAATCTCTCGCACTCATCCATATCTGCGACAAACAGGTACAGTTAAATTCATAAAAAATAATGATTTGAAACATGATCTAACTCAAACTCAGCTTTAAAAAATGCAAAGCTTATCATCGTTTTCATCAGAATAAAACATACACAAAATTAAATCAAATAAAAAGCTACCACAAAAATTATTTTTTTTATTTGTTTTCATTCTGAGGAGATTATCGTATTTACACATTAGACTTATTTAAATGTACACTAAGGAACAATACAGGCGAGGGTCTGCCACCGCACTCCAAAAAATGTTTTAATTCAGTGAAAATACAGAAATTGATATGTGGAGCCACTGAACGGATTTCTACACATCAGTCTGGGATGGCTCTCACTGAAAGAGACCGTAACCAATGATCTGAACATTCAACAACTTCACACTGATTGGCTGAAGTGTCACAACAGCAGAACAAGACGAAAAATCAAACTTGAGGTAATTCCATTTGAGAGAAAAACACAGGCGTCCATATTTGTATTAAAATAGGCCGAAGTGCGTTTGTGTTTGCTTTTCTGCCCTGTGATTGGTCAGTTTCTGCACCACATGCAGAGCTGATTTTCAAGAGTTTGTGAACTCACAAAAATAACAAGAATTCATTTGGCTGTTGCTGCTTGGGAAACATTCAATGCAAAACAAAGACATCTCAGTGAAGACAAGCAGGGAGCAGACTTTATTTTTATTTTTGTTATAATTTTTTTTACATTTTACTCAACAGTGACCTTTCTGAACATTCATATTTTAATTGATACAAAGATAGAAGATACAAAAAACTAGACATACCTATGCAGACGTTGGTCTGGTCGGGCGGCAGGGTTTCGTCTGTTGGTATGTAGCCGATTTCACATTTACAGTTGTAGGATCCGACTGTGTTGGTGCAAATGCTGTTCTGACCGCATATTTTTTTGTCCAAACACTCATCGATGTCTGAGAAACACGAAGTAAGTCCTGTTAGCTCATCAACAAACTAAACAACTATATTCAAGGCAAGCCAGTATTAGGCTAATAATAATTCATCTTAGTTAAAATATATGCAGGAAGTAATTGTTAGTACAAGTGGGGATATGTCGAAAAACTGATAATATTGCAATTGATGTTTTAGCGTTTTGCAAATTTGGAATGTTGAGTATTTCATCCAAAATTAAAACAATTAAAAATAACTAGAAAAAGAAATAGTGTTTTTTGGTTTGTTATGTTGTTATGTTTGTTTTGTGCGAGTTTCAATCTCAAGACATGATCTACATGCACATTTTACCACATTTTTAACCCCTTATGAGCCCCCCCCACAGCCTTAGATCCTCAGGCAGGTCCCTGTTTTTTGTTCCAAAGTCGAGGCTCCAGACAAAGGGTGATTAAGCTTTTTCAGTCCGGGCGCCTCGGCTTTGGAATGACCTGCCCGAGGAGGTAAGTTTCTCACCATCAGTACCATCTTTTAAATCACTTCTTAAAACCCACTTTAATCATCAGGCCTTTTTAGAAAATGTCTCTATTTTATGTGTGTATCTTTTCTTTGTATTTCAATATCAACCACTCCTGATTAATAATTAGTATTTTTTATAATCTCAAACCTTGACATGGTGGCTTTCCCCTTGGAATAAGTTGAAATCCGACGTGGCAAACACATGTAAAACTTCCTACAGTGTTGGTACAGTCACCGTACGGTCCGCAAGCTGAATCCAAGCATTCGTCGATATCTGGAAGAAAGAAAATGTCAAATAGTATGTCATAAATCTGACCGACTAAAGCAATTACTGCACTTCTACTTGCATTATTAGGTCTTCTTGAGTTAACTGGAATTACATAAGAAGCTCACAGATAAAGAAACGCCCTCTACAGGCAATAATGGGGAGTAAAATGTTGAAAATGCAAAAAGCAGCACGTCTTACTGTAGCAATATGATGCATATGTATGCTTTTGTATCGCAAACAGTGGTCCAACAGTGGTCCAAAGTTATTCCTCACTAACCTTATGCATGTAGGATGATAACACACCCTTTCTGATTATTGAATGCTTTCTAATTAGAGGCAGTGGACTTATTTTGACCTCAAACCCAAAAAATCTGTGATGATCACAAGATGCCATAAGGTTGTACAGACATTAAGGAACTATAATATGTCTAGATTAAATTAAGGTGAACCTCACCGATACAAGGGTTGGTTGTTTTGGCCGGTGGCATTGACGTATTTGTTGCCTGAAATCCAGTCAGACAGAGACAGTGGAACGTGCCTGGATCGTTCACACACTGTGCATAGGAGCCACATATTGTTGTGTCCTCAGTGCAGTCATCGATGTCTGAACAACAGAAAACCAATGTTTATTATGAGTTTATCATGCAATATCTTGATACAGTTCTATACTCTCAATAGAAGGTCAACAGAGTTTGGTAGGAAAGTCAAAAAACACCTGTTACCATTGAAATCTGCCATGTTTCTTGTAGTAGTGCAAACTTACCGTAGTTGACATAAATTGTTTTAGAGGATTAACAAGAAACACTGGATAAGTACTATTGGTGAGTTTTTGTACTTACCTAAACAACCATAAGAACTGGCAGTGGGTTTAACAGCTGGATCCATTCTGTACCCAGGGACACAAACACAGCCTCCTCCAGTGGAGCACTGAGCGAGAGGCCCACACGAGCTCGCCGTGCACGTGTGATGATCTGAGGGAAAGACAAAGATTCGTCAACTGAGGCATTTCATGTGAAAAAAAAGGTTACCAATAAAACATTTTAAAAAGCCAAAAAAGTGTTTCGGATTTCTATTTTTTTTTTAAACTGTTGAAATTGTTAACTTCTTGTGGACAAGTTAACCTGATTAACCTGAGAAAAGAGGACGTTTCCCAAGCTTTAACCAACCCTTTTGTCATCATCTACTTTTTTTTTTTTTTTTTTTTTTTGTGCATGCTAGTGTTGTTTCGGTGATAAAAATTCTAACAAAATTTTGCTCCTGAAGAATAGACTTGATACTCAATACTGATTCTGACACCACAATGATAATAAAACACTTTACTGAATGTATTATTATTTTTAAATTGTGGTACTTTCTTTATTATATTACCATAGTGATGATACAGCTCAAGATTGTGAGATATCTGACTTTTAGTAGTTTTAAAAACCCTGTACGGCAGCATATATTCTTTTTTTCAGAACTGTGATCGATAAAATGTTATAAACTTACATGTTAAATAGCCCGAATATGTAGTTGGATGTGATGCAGGCTTGTAAATGAAGAATCCAGTAGGGCAATACTTCACTTCCATTGTAATAGGATAATAAGTACATGTTGAATAGTATGCATAAGCCGTCCCTGCTACTGTAGTTAGGTTGACGTTTGGATATGCGAAGGGCACATAGATGGGATAAGTAGTGCCACCATGGTTAACCGTATTTGTACAAGCAGTAATAATTCGGTCGCCTCCAATTCCCATAAAGCGGGTCCATTGACCCACTAAACCAGCGTCGCTGTTTGGGAAATCCTTGTAACCAGTTGAGGCGAAGGCAACGTTGCGCCAAGGATCAGTTAAAATGATGTGACTGTCACACGGGTCTGGTGGAACGGTGGTAGCTGTAAAGGAAACGGAAATGGTGAGTCAACAATGAAACATGAATCATTTAAAATAAACAGAGAATATTGCAAATACCTGAAGGTGCGGGAGCTACCACCAACTGGAACTGGAAGAATAAACCTATAAAAATATGGACAGGCAAAAACAATTTCAGATTTCTAACAGAATTTCCCCAACGTTCCCAACATTTCTGATACATTTGATGGAAACAAAATATCAATGAGGTGAGAAAAGTAATATTATAATAGTGTATTTTCTTTTAACCCAATATAAATTGACAAGAATACATAATAGTCTAGTATTGTGCGAGATAAGATACAAAATCTGAAACCAGTATCAGAAATGTTCATATTCACTGCCATATCTATATTTAAGTTACTAAAGCTACAATTTTTGCACTGTCAAAGAAATAACACATAAAATATTCACAATTTCTCTATATAAATGTAAATACATAAAAATACTATACGTTATCAGAAAAAACAATATGTGATAATAAATTAAGAACAAAATTGTAATAACTTGCCGAGCACTGAAAAGATGAGGCTGCACATTGTGGCCATTGCTGACTGACTGATGGATGACTGTAAGGTATTCTCGGTATATGTCTATTTTTGAAGTTTGCGTACTTTGCTTGTTTTTTCTGTGATTGGCACAGATGCAAAAGTGAATGCAAAGTCCCGGAGCAGGAGTCATGAGCGTGTCTTTGAGGAGGGATCAGTCTGGAGGACCATGAGTTATGCTGGTATAAGCTCACACTGTTTTTTCTATGTTATATTCATGTGTTCATTTTAGTTTTTTCCAGTTTGGTGAGATAATGATTTTGTGAAATATTTGTCATAGTTTTCAGCGACGTGGCAGTTTGTGAAGAAGAGTGGCAAAAAAGTTGAAAATTACAGAAAGTATGTCTGAGTTTTAAAAAGGAATCAGTTTCTTTATGTCGTGTCATTGCAGTTTTTACTCAAAATGCTTTGTTTTTTGACTGTTTAAACCAGGGCTGCTCAATACGTCGATCGTGATCTATCAGTCGATCGCCAAGGTCGTGTGGGTAGATCCCCGTGTCTTGTCTCGAACTCGCGTTTGGACTTGGTCTTGTCTCTCACTCAAGGTCTGACACTCAACAAGTGCGATCATATTTCATTATGGCCGCTGCTGTTGGTAATAAACTTGTAGCGGGGTGCAGGAGCGTGTGGGGCGTCTCAGTGCAGCCTCCGCGCTCATTTGAAACCCGCGGAGACTCTACGGCGCATCACAAACACACACGCTCCCTATGCACGGCTCGTCTGCAACAGCGTGTGCCCTCGTGTACCAGCGTGCATCACAGGGCAGGTTCAACTTCCTAAACATCCTACCTGTCCATCTGCCTCACGTCAGCACGCCGCCCCTCGCCTTTTCACGCTCTCGCTCCTTCCTGCGTACAGCGAACACAAGCCCCTCCCACAGTGCGGCTGATTAGAAGAGCAAGACGAAACGTGAAGCAAAAACGAGTCTAAATTTGTGTTAAAGTGTTTGCACAAAGCAGGTCTACAGCATAGAGCGGATCTACAGAACAGACCTACTGCCACATTTGGCTGAAGTTTGTCTAACAAAAGTGCAAAAATGCATCTGTGTTTGTCACGATGTGCGTTTGTAAACGTGCAGAGGCTGGTAAATATCACTGCAAAACCAGAAAAGAATGCAACTCCAGTTTGGAACTTTAAAAAACAGGTTTAAAAATCTTCCTTCACTTTTTCCACAGTTTTGTGTAAAGTGCCAGAGGAAGTTCACTTAAAGAAGGGGTTCTCAAACTGTGGGGGAGGGTCCAAAAAAAGAGTGTTTCAGTGCAGATTGCTTGGCTTTGCATTAGGTAGATCATTATGACTTGGTAATTTTGTAAGTAGCTCGCATGCTGAAAAAGTGTGAGCACCCCTGGTTTAAACTTTTGCCAGATAGACTACAAGTCAAAAGTTTAGACACAGGCCTTCACATTACTTTCTATGTTATAAATACATACTGAATACATCAAACGTATGAAGGAAGATATATGGAATTATGTAATAAGAAAACAATTATATATTTAATCTATTTTTAATATATTCAGTATTTATTCAGATTCCTCAGAGGAGCCACCCTTTGCTTTGTTGACAGTGCTGCAAACCCTTGACCTAGAATCCTGCAATCCCATGGACCCGACGCAAAACTGTGCGGTGCTGGACACATTTTGAAAGCTCACTGTGGGCGCAGGCGGGATTACACAATGTAGGAGTGAGCAGGCGGGATGATAAATTGCAGTCCCTCAAACTAAATATGAGTGTAAAGTAAAATATACAAATGATGAATGTAAGCATATCATGTATAATTTGCATGATATGCCCCCCCCGAGGCGTTCCCAGGCCAGCCGAGAGACCCTCCAGCGTGTCCTGGGTCTTCCCCGGGGCCTCCTCCCATTGGGACATGCCCAGAACACCTCCCGAGGGAGGCGCCCAGGAGGCATCCAGAACAGATGCCCGAGCCACCTCAACTGGCTCCTCTCGACGTGGAGGAGCAGCGGCTCTACTCCGAGCTCCTCCTGTGTGACTGAGCTCCTCACCCTATCTCTAAGGGAGCGCCCAGCCACCCTGCGGAGGAAACTCATTTCGCGATCTTGTCCTTTCGGTCATTACCCAGAGCTCAAGACCGTAGGTGAGAGTAGGAACGAAGACTGACCGGTAAATCGAGAGCTTTGCCTTTTGGCTCCCTCTTCACCACAATGGTCTGATACAGAGACCGCATCACTGCAGATGCTGCACCGATCCACCTGTCAATCTCACGCTCCGTCCTCCCCTCACTCATGAACAAGACCCCGAGATGCTTGAACTCCTCCACTTGAGGCAGGGACTCTCCACCCACCCGGAGAGGGCAAGCCACCTTTTTTCCGGTCGAGAATCATGGCCTCGGACTTGGAAGAGCTGATTCTCATCCCAGCTGCTTCACACTCGACAAAACTCTGAATATTCCACTTTTTCCTCTTAAAATGCCTTGACAAGACTTAATCCAAAGAACTAAGACTTAAAAGTGCTTAGAACTGTTATTTCTTTTTGTAGTCTACACTGAAATGGAGCAAAGGATCATGGTCTATGTAAGTCCCTGACAAAAGTCTTATCGCTTATCCATTTTGTAGAAACAAAAGCTTATAACCTGGCTTTAAATTAATCGATTGGTTTTAGAAATGTCTCATATGAAAGCTAAAACCCTCCCAAATTATGCTCAATATACTAAAATAAATTTGCTTCACTGAAGAAAGATTGATCACTTAACGAACACAGAAAGGTCAGATTTTGGCAAGACAAAAGTTTTGTCGCCTACAGAAAATTGAACAAATAATTTACTTTACTTTTTACAAAAATATGTTACATAACATCAGTGAATGAAGTAGTGGTGCTGTGAGATCCATATTTAATATCTTGTATCACTTCCATGAGCTTGAAGGACGCATCCATGTGGTTCGACAATGATTCATACAATTTGTTGATGAAGTCATCAGGAATAGCAAAGAAAGCGTCTTACATGCCTCCCAGAGTTCATCAAGATTCTTTGGTTTTGCCTTCCATGCTTCCTCTTTCATTCTACCCCAGACATGCTCAATGATGTTCATGTCTGGTGACTGGGCTGGCCAGTCCTGGAGCACCTTGATCTTCTTCGCCTTGAGAAACTTTGATGTAGAGATAGAAGTATGCGATGGAGCACCATCCTGCTGCAAAATTTGACCCATTTTATGGTTGGGAATGTAAGAGGAGCTAATACTTCTTGATATTTTAGGCTATTGATATTGCCTTCCACCCTGCAAATGTCTCGCCCCATACTGGATGGAACCCCAGACCAGGATTTTTCCTCCACCAAACTTAACTGTTTTCTGGGTGAATCTTGGATCCATGCGGCTCCAGTAGGTCTCCTGCAATATTTGCGGTGGCTGTGATGTAATTCAACCGAGGATTCATCTGAGAAATCCACCTTCTGCCACTTTTCCAGTGTCCATCCTTTTAACAGGCTGTGGGCCTTGGCAAATGCCACACGGTTTTTTAATTGCCTTTTGTTTAGTGCTGGTTTCTGTGCACTGATTTGACCATGGAGGCCATTTCGAGACAGAATTCTACAAACTGTTGTGGTTGACACAGGGACTTGAGGTGACCAGGCCTGGTGGAGTCTGCTGCAGTGGAAAAGGGGCTGGCCTTGGATTTTCGAATTAACAAACGGTCCTCCTGAGCAGTTGTCTTGCGGGATCTGCCGGACCTGGGCTTGTCAAAAACATCTCCAGTCATTTCAGATCTTTTTCTTATTCTTTGTACTTGACGCTGAGACACATTGAAGGTGTCACCACCTCAGCAGTGGATCTGGTCTTCAGCCTCTTGATGATTAACGCTTTGGTCTCAGGGTGGATCTTAGGCATGTTGTCAGAGGTCAAGTTGCAGTTGATGTGAAGGTCTGGTGTGCTGGGGTTCTTTTTATACACACCCACTAATTGACTGATCAGTAACTGATCACAGGTGAGGCTGTAATCTAGGATTGGGTGCATCATATGACAAGACGACAAGACTTTTGTCTTGCCAAAATCTGACCTTTCTGTGTTCATTAAATGATCAATCTTTTTTCAGTGAAGCAAATTTATTTTAGTATATTGAGCATAATTTGGGAGGGTTTTAGCTTTCATATGAGACATTTCTAAAACCAATCGATTAATTTAAAGTCAGGTTATAAGCTTTTGTTTCTACAAAATGGATAAGCGACAAGACTTTTGTCAGGGACTGTAGTTCCCGTTGTCTTTTTTTAATCTATTGCTGCACCATAACTCTTAATTTCATTTGTAATTCGATATATTGTGAGAACTTTGACGACACGATATCATGATATTTCAGTTATTGTTACATCCCTAGTATCGACCTTGGAAAAACACATATCAGTTCTCGTGAAACCCTCTCAGAAGGCCGTACCTTCTTGTTACGCAGAAGCCTGCACGTGCGGCATGTGACGAGAGCGTATTCTCTCCTACTGTATTTATTGAGAGGTTTTTATGGTTCAGTTTACGCAGTGAATGGTGCATCAAAAGCCGCAGATCAATCACAGCCTCATCCCAGACCTGTATCTCTCTTGTATCTGAGCCTCTG